ACAGTCTGATTGTTAGGAACAATCACACATACGTTTTACTATAAATAAATTTATCGAATTGAAATGGCTATTTCATTTGAAGTGACAAATTATCGAAATATACTTATATAAGTAATAACTTGTATTGTGTACAATTTTATAATATATATTGCTAATTGATTATTTGAAACAACTTTTTGAGTTTACATACATAATTTCTAAATCTATATTCTACAAAATTCTTGGAAACAACATTTTACAGAAATATCAATAAAATATAAGTTCCAGCTGTTTACTCACACGCGATGTTTACGGCTATTGGAATTTTGCTGAAGGTGTATGGATAAGTTGTGAATATAATTTGTATATCAATTTCATAAAATGAACATCTATTGTTAAATTTACAATAATCACACTGTTCTTTTTATTTTGATTTCGATAAACGGTCATTAACCTAATAACTATTGACTCGTCTAGTCACTGATACAATGATTTGAATTTAAATTTTCGAAAAAAATGTTTCATATTAGGAATGATATATAGAAATAAGAAATGCAAAACGTTCTGTTAAATAAGCTTGCAAAGACAACAGTTTTATTTTTCTAAGATCGTAACGATCTTTAAATTATCAAAGATGCAGAGTGCTCTGTAAACTTAAGCTTGTTGGGATTTCTTTAAATTTTATTAAGCTATTAAGAAATACTGTGAAAATGTTTCCTCGCATAGTGGTATTACCCTTATATGTGGATTGTGAAGAACTTCTGGATAATTTTAAACCTCGATCTTTCCCTGAAATTTATTCAATCAAAACTTTTGATTTTCAACCCTGTATACCATTCCCCATGTGAAAGTGAAAAGTCGTCTAAAAGAAATAATCCACAATGCTTTTAAATATAAAAATGGTAGCAGACTCGATAAATATATTTCTTTGGGGTACCATACGGCATATTTTGTAGATAGTAAACACAAAGGTAAAACATGCTACACAGAGGCAAGTAATCAGTATACTGGAATATCTTATTGAACACATATTTGAATTTGGAGGAAGGCTTTTTCAACAAAGTGTCGGCATTCTTATTGGAACAAACTGTGCCGACCTCTTCTTATTTTCATATGAGCCGGAGTTTCTTCAGACACTTGTCAAAAACAACGAGATCAAAGAAGCAAGATCATTTAATTTCACATTCATATATTTTGATGATGTTCTTTCCATTAACAATCCAAACTTTTCTGATTGAGTTCCATTAATATATTAGATGTATGCCTTGAATTTGACATCTCTTTATCAGAATCTATGACAAACGAGACTTTTTCAATTTTGAAATTATCAATATCCCCTAAGTAGTACATATAAGATACCAACCTCACCTAAATATGGGATATACATTTTTTAACTTATTTGGTTTTCAAAAGCTTGCACCTGCTACTTAGACTTTATAAAACGTCACCAGTGTCTGAGCAGAAAACTGATGAGCCAGGGTTATGTCAAAGAACGTCTCGTCCTTTTTTTTTTTGCCTTTTCAAATGTTTAGTGTCTAGTGCTACATTAAAGTATATAGATGCATGACAGATGTGGGTAAAAAACATAGGATTCAGAAAATATCCTCACAAAGTCATACAGATCTAGGTCTAGCCATATCGTAAGGTTCACCATAACCCTTCGTCAAATATGGCGAAACGTGAAACTCGGGTGTTTGTTTTTGTTTTGCTATCTTCTGAAGACTTAAAAACCATGCATATTAAAATACAGGTTAGTTTATATCTTCCGAAACATAAATTGCAAATACCTTTTATATATGTAGATCATACCATGCCTTAAAACCTTTCATCAATGCACCTGTTTGTCTGTACTCAGAGTAGATTATTTGGTGTAATTACAGCCATATTTGTCAAAAGGTTATGATGAACCTAAATCGCTCTTTACAAAAACAGTAGTCCTGTCAATTATTATAATTTGAAATTTGCCATTTTTTAATCTAAACTGAATTCAAAGGTGCATGGTGGATAAGTCACAAATATGAAATTTAAATTCTTTAGTTTATTTCAGTCATGTTGAAACTGACATTACACATGAAAATATAAATGATAACAATGTTTTTGTTACAACTATTTTACACACTTTAAGATCTTTGTTTATAGCAAAATATGATTAAGGGTAAAGTCTTGACTCGTGGCAAGATCTCAAAATGGCGCTATTTTGGCAGTGTTGCACTGAATGCGAAAACCGAAAAAAAACCACTTTATCATTTTGTGTGATCGAAGCTCTTTTTTTGGATTTAACTTCATCAGGAATGCTCAAATCCAAATATTTGAAAGTCGAAGATGTATGACTACTTAAGAACGTGAGGAGCAATATGATCAAAAGGGACCAAAAGGGAATAGCTAAATCCATCCAATGTCAAATTTGACTGAAGGATTTGACCTTTTTTTCATAATTTATAAATAAAACAACGCAAAAACTTTTCAGCTGATGATATCATCAGAAACTTGCAGTTCATCAGCAGCGTTATCGACCAAGTGCTCGTATATAAAATGCACACTGTGTACATTAAGACCGCCCGAATCGCTTTTTTGGGTTGACCTTCACAAGGAACGTTCAAATACACCAATAATGAAAGCCAAGGATAAATAACTGCTTGTATACGTGAAGAGCTATATGACGAAAAGGACCTTAATCGAAAGGACAAATCCACCTTATGATAATTTTGTCTGAGTTTGAACCTAAATAAAGGCAACAGTAGTATACCGCTGTTCAATAGTAATAAATCGATTGAGAGAAAATAAATCCGGTTCAAAAACCAAAACCGAGGAAAACACATCAACTATAAGAGGAAAACAACGGAATAACAGAAACACTGAACTGCTACAGAAACAAACGCCAACAAACATAAAAACTGACTTTTCGATAACAACTGCCATATTCTTGACTTGGTACATGACATTTTAAGAAAAAAATGGTGGAATGAACCTGGTGTTATGGCTAGCCAAACCTCCCGCTTATATGACAATGTTAAAAATATCGCAAAAATGACAACATTACGTGACTAATAGTGTTTTTATTATTTCTTAATTTATCAACTAGCAATTCATCTTGTTATCTATCATGCGATGTCAGATACGAAGTACTGACTAAAAAATTCTCTGAAACTGACATTATCAAGATGCTTGATTTCTTGATTGACAACATATTTGTTACGTTTGGAGGACGTGTTTTTCAACAGACTGTCGGAATTCCAATGGGAACCAATTGTGCCCCTCTTCTTGCCGACTTGTTTCTTTATTATTATGAGGCTGACTTCATACAGGAGCTTCTTAGGAAGAGAGATAAGAAGTTAGCAATATCCTTTAACTCTACGTTCCGCTATATAGATGATGTTCTCTCACTAAATAATACAAAATTTGGTGACTATGTTGAACGAATCTATCCCATCAAACTAGAGATAAAGGATACTACAGATACAGTTAAGTCTGCCTCATATCTTGACTTACATCTAGAAATTGACAATGAGGGTCGGTTGAAAACAAAACTTTACGACAAAAGAGATGATTTCAGCTTCCCAATTGTGAACTTTCCATTTCTATGTAGCAACATTCCAGCAGCGCCTGCATAATTTGATACGATATTCCCGGGCTTGTGTTTCCTATCATGATTTCCTTGATAGAGGATTGCTGCTCACAAAGAAGCTAATAAACCAAGAGTTCCAAATGGTGAAGTTGAAGTCATCCCTTCGTAAATTTTATGGACGCCATCACGAGTTGGTTGACCGTTATGGAATAACCATTTCACAGATGATATCGGATATGTTCCTTATGTCGTAACTACAATACCCTTCCCTTTTCACGAATGTGACTTACCGAATTAGACTATTTACCGGATTTGTAATAACATAAGCAACTCGACGGGTGCCACATGTGGAGCAGCATCTGCTTACCCTTCCGGAGCACCTGAGATCACCCCCAGTTTTTGGTGGGGTTCGTGTTGCTTAGTCTTTAGTTTTCTATGTTGTGTCATCTGTACTATTATTTGTCTGTTTGTCTTTTTATGTTTGGCCATGACGTTGTCAGTTTGTTTTCGATCTATGAGTTTGACTGTCCCTCTGGTATCTTTCGTCCCTCTTTTACAGACCTAATGATACTCTAGACATGCTAAAGGATTTGTTACTGGAAGTGATGTTGACCAAATGTTAGTAAGTGAAAATAAACTTGGTGCCTCCGAAGCAAGTTTTAAGTTTGAAGCTCTAATGCAAATATGTAGGACAACATTGAAAAATATGAAATAAATGTCTGACAGATTTCACGAAATTATTGGGAAAATTTATTATATTTTTTCTAATTTCGAGTTTAAAGGCTAAAACAGCGGCACATCTTCTCTTCTTGTGGTAGTATTAAGAAACTCCTCATGAAACGTTAAGTTTTTACGGTTAAGCCGTTTTTTTAAATGTCCCGATAATTGTTGTTCTAACCTTTTCTAAGGACTGGTTCGATAACACTGCTGGTGGTCTTTTGAGTAACATTTTCCCATAGACTGACATGATTAACAGCGATTTCTTAAATTTTCCATTGAAAAAAGTGTATGACAACGAACAGAGGAAGTTAAATTTGTATCAATATTTATCAATTATGTCTACTCATGTTGACACATCGGGACATTGAAACTAAAATATGGAGGTAAGAGTAGAAAACAAATCATATTGATGTGTTTGACTATAGAAAAACAAAGGTCAATAATCTTTGACCTTAAAGCATTTTCAATTGAATATTTTCAAATTTATTCTAAGGGAAAAGTCTTATGTATACGAAATGCTGGTCTAGAATGATATGAACTTATCATTCCAACAGATACGACCAGAATCAACACAATCAGAACCAATTCAACAGGCTTCAAAGGCAAATACATTCAATCCAAAAAGGCTTCCTCATAAAATTCATTCTCAAAGATTGATAATGTGAGTTACACTGAATACCTAGGTCTGTTATTTAATTGAGAAAAAAAAAGAAATACTCACAGACGACAGTCTTGGAAAGTTTTGTAATCTTTTATTTAACAACAAAGTTAATAAGATCAATCATCTAATGCATAAACTTTGACTTCAGCAACATGGAGGTATTCTCTCCCTTTGATCGTTAACCTCACGTAACGTGCATATTTGGGACTATGGTTACATTTAAAAACAAGATGTTCTCCTTTACCAGCCGGTCCTTTGTACTGAGCGCACAAATACATCTGATTGTGTGATGGTCCAGTTGTTATGTCCAAATCGTGAAGTCGTTCTCCTGAAATATTTGATTTAATAGATAATGAAGTTTGGTTAAAAACATGAAACACAAAGTTATTTCAATTATGATACAGAATTAGGTAAACAAAAAAATTTTTTTTAAGTAATATGAATTTGAAAAAAATATATATGAAAGTGCTGACAAAACCAATCGCGGGATTCTTAATGTTAATTAGGCAAACACAATAAAATCTAGATGACCATAAAACTGTCTTCACATTTGGCAACAGTTTAATGTCTTGTCGGTATTCAATAATCGTATTCAGGACGGGAACATTGATATAATGTATGAAACTCTAACTTGTACAAGACGGATACACTGAATTAAAGACATGTAACGGAATCTTGACGCATACATATTGTGCCTTCGAAATGTGTAACGAACACATTACAAAACAAAAAAGGCGAACCATGTGAAAAAGCTAATTGTTAGTTATTAGTGAATTACATCTATATAAAAATCAGATTTGAATTCATTGAAGTCAATTGGCTTGCTTACGCGATTACAGTACTTACCACAACAACTTTTCCTATTGAAAATTTCTATTCTAAATATTTTGTATTCTTTCCCTAAATCAACCTCCAAGTAAGGCGAAACGTCCAATCCTGTATGGGAATATGTGTTAAAATTTCCATCAACAGCGGCACTGGCTCTGGCACTGGCACTGGCATAAAACAGATAGTCTGAACTTTGCTTGGTTTGTTTCCTATATGCAACTTCACTCAGTTGGACGTATTTTGGATCTGTGGATGAAAATTTCAACATCAATAAATCACTGATAATCATGCACTTCATGATTCGCACGCCCCTTTGTTTACTCTTGATTACTCATGTTTCGAAGTGTTCAAATAAAGTAGTGTAGCAATTGTATAAAACTTTAAAATTATTGAAAAGTTGTTCGCTCTAAGACACTCAAACACATTATAGACAAAAGAAGGAGTTGATTTCATTTTTTATCTAACAATTCATAATTGCATGCAGTGAAAAGGCTGGACACTACAGAGTAGCAAGCGAGATAAGAGTGCAAAGTTCAGTCTAATACAGATGGGGCATACATCAATATGTCAATATGTTTACTCCTTCCTTGAACTCTGAGGTTAACGTAATATTGACATAACAGATTTTTGCAGAAAAAGAACTGTAATAACGTCAACTATTTTAGCTTTTGTGATCTATCGATATTTATTTCTGCATCGTTACTACTGGGAATAAGGTTTACAATATCGCGTAATGTAAAGTCTAAACCGCAGATATGTTTGGGCATATGACAAAGTATGGCAAGGGACATTGTTGATTTGGATAAGGTCTTGCAAAATTCATTTGTTTAATTAAATACAATATAGTATCGCAATATACACGTATACATACCCTTTGGAATTCTCCGAAGTAATTCTTTCAGCATTTTAGATAACGTTGCAGTGTTGTAGTTCATCGTTGATTGCAATTTTTGAAACATCTCTGAATCATATCCATTTATAATTGACAAATAAGAAATCAGAAAAAAAGTGGGCACAATCATTTTTTCTTGTGATTTACTCACTTCAAGATATATTGTGTCGTTCCGATACTCCCAGAAACAGAAATCCGACGTTTTCTACTAAAAAAGTTAAACACGCAAACTAAGCATTAGTTTTGTATCATTATATCATACGTGTATATTTACAGTATGTTTGAATGTTTATTTTGTAATACAGAAAAATCGTTAAAAAGATCTTAATAATTTTAAAATAGTTTATTCTATTTTTAGTAATTTCAGGTCCTTTTATAAAGGAGCAAATTATCAAATTATGGGGAAAAAATGTTGATGTCTGGCTTTGGATATTACTTATTTTTCAACTGTTTACACATGCAGGCTATTGTTTTTTTTTTTCTTAACGTTTTCTGTGCCACGGGCCGATTTTAGGCCGATTTGTAAATACTACCAATATGTGCTACGTAGACTGCCACGGGCCGATTTTCGGCCGATGTTTTCTTCCTTACGTCGAACAATAGGCTTCAGTGACGTTGCCTCTTTTGTGAACTATGGGAGTGGCTACACAGACGAAGAACTGTGCGTAACAAAACGTAACGTTATGCATGCAAAGTGCTTTCAAATTTTCATTTTAGTTGCGTCGGCCATACTTTTATAGAGTATATATATAAATTATTTCAATTTGTTTTCATTTTGTGGACTTTCTGCTGATTTTTCTGTTTTGTTCTATATAAAATCATATTAAAGAAATGGAGAAGTTTCACTCATTTATGATAGCAGTCGAAATGTTTAATTACTGAAACCAATTTTGTTGCACTGTATGTGCACGTTTCATCAACTAATGAATCTTCAGTAGTGGTCCAGATCCGAATTATGGAATTATCAAACAAACAAGAAACCTAAAAACGTTCGAGGAGCGATTTCAAATACCAGAATGACCGAAAAATCAATTAAAAATACCATCTAGGGAAAAAAAAAGTTGAGTAATTAAAGTGCTTGTCGTGATCCTACAGAGCCATCTTTATGTGAGGGGATGGGGATTTGATGCATTATCAATCATTTATTCATGTAGGTGTGATGGGTTGTCTTATGTTCTCACTTCTCCATTTTAAAACGATACCTGGTATTACAATAAAAACGTTGTTTTTTTTTTATCAGAAACAAATAATATATTTTTAATCAAGATTCAACACACTAATGATTATCTTTACAATCCCGGCGCACCCCCTTATTGCATACTCGACACACTGTCCTACTCCTCTTTCGACCTCCGTAACCATTCCTGTCTGAACATACATCACAGTCTTTCTCTCGATGACCGGACAACTTCCTTATTCCATTTTTATTCTTATTTTGTCTAAATTGTCTTGAATTTCGTTTCTTTGCATCATGTGGTCTTTGGCGGGATCCTCAATAAGCTGTTTCGTGAAAGCTAATCTTGACAGTTTAAGGTTATCCGATGTATTTTATTGGCATAATGTATATGCATTGATAACCATACGGTGCATAAGATTAAAAAAACTACCCTTTTCCATACTTTTAAAGTTTTTCGTCCATCATTATAACTCTCTGTCATCATATCCATAGGTACTTGGGGACAGGACAATTTTTTTTGGCCCTCTACCTTTTTTCCAAAATCCATTATTTTATCGTTTTCTATTAATTTCAATTATTTTCGCGTTTTTTCTGTATTATAAGAACATAAAATAATAAATATACTATAAATAACTTGTATTTGCTATTTACTATCAATTCCATGTTTACTATCCACAGCTGTTACTGATGTATATATTTTTTGGAAGATAGGGGAAGGTAAAAAAAATTTGTCCTGTCCCCAAGTACATGTACCTATGATCATATCAGCCAAATATATGACTGCTTTATAAGTGCTTGAAAATCCAAAAATTTACACAATGTTACTGGGGTCATCAACATCAACAAAAACTTCTAAAAAAAAAATCAATTTGTCAACACGAAAATGAAAAAGAATGTGTCCACACTACACGAATGCCGCAATCGCACTATCATTTTCTATGTTCAGTGGACCGTGAAATTGGGGCCAAAACTCTAATTTGACATTAGAATTAAAAAGATCATATCATTGGGAACATGTGCACTAAGTTCCAAGTTGATTGCACTTCAACTTCATCAAAAACTACATTGACCAAAAACTTTAACCTAAAGCGGGACAGACGGACGAACGAACGGACGCATAGACCGGAAAACACAATGCCTCTATAGGTGGGGCATACAAATGTTGCAAAAACGAAAGTAGCGTGAATCTTTTCACCTAAAAACAATGAAAAATTAGTACGATGTTAAAATTTTGATCTTATTTTTCTGTAATGACCAATTTGAAAATAACTTACTTTTGATTTTTGATTATTGTTTGGTTGAAATCCACATTGTCGCCACAAAAACGAAAATTTCTCTTAAACCCGGGGATTCATTTTAAGATTATATTTTATAAAAAATTGCTATGTATGGAAAGAAGTGGTGCTTCATTTGTGTTGTTCAGTGTATATAGGAAAAATCTGTTTTTCCCCAATAGCGAGAAAAGAAGGACAGTGAATGCAAGTTTTCTTTTAGAATATCAAAGTAAATATGATATAAAGTGTCTTTTTTATGCAGTCATAAAAAACTATATTCATTGGTTTTTTAATCGCAGGAAAATGTCGAATTTTCTCTGTTTAATTAATGTAAAATTTACCAGAATTTATCCCCAATCACTGCCAATTATATATAACATACGAACGAAAGGATACATGTGCATTTTAAATCGAATTTCTAAATGCATCCATCTATACATTCTCTCTTTCAAAAAATAAAAAAAATATATCTGCTGTAAAAAAAAAAATAAAGACCGCAGAGTCAACAAATATGGTGTTTAGTTCTCTTGATTTTGCCGGTTTTATTTTTCACAATTAAAATTTTATGGAAACTTTTTTTGCAGCACAATTCGAAGATAATAGTTTTTTGATTTGGTAAATTTCTTTATAATACAACCCCATAACTCGGAAACGTAAAATCTAAAATTTATAAAAAAAAAAAGAAAGGGAGCTCACGTCAATAGATATTAACAATTCACCAAAGTTTTATGCAAATTGGTTAAAGCGTTTTTGAGGTAATATCCGATATGTTGACGACGGACGGACGGACAACGGTATACCATAATACGTCCCGTAAACGGGCGTATAAAAATACACTCCTAGATTATCAAATAATCAAATAATCATGAAATATTTGGTCTGGTAATCAAATAATCACTAAAAAACGTCCAAGTAATCACATAATCAAAAACCCCGTGAGGAAGCTCAACTATCAACTGTTTGTTTGAGCGCTGTGGAACCATCTCTTCGAATTTAAAAAGAAATAAAAACATTAAAACCTACTTATGCCCCTGAGATTTAAAAAAAAATTATTACCGAAAAAGTACAATTTACTTCTACGTATACAGAAGCAAAACTTCTCAAAATTGCCATTCAAATGCAATCACTGAAAGACGTCGTACCCTTTTACGCAAAATTTATGACGCGACGTTATTGTTATCGTCACTGACGGCAAATATTCTTGTGTACTTTAGAAAAAAACAAGCTTGGCAGTAAAAGGAAAATTGCGAAATATTCCCTGGCACTGAAAGAGTTAAGGGATTACGATACAGTAGCAGGGGCAGATAATAACGTTTTCAAAATTTTTCGTGTTGTTTTCGCGACGTTGGTAATCAGTACGTTGTAATTTCGCGATGTTTCTAATAAGAACGATTACATTTGGCGACGTCGCTTCAGATGTATTCACATTTGCGGAAAATCCACTGACGTCATAATCCCGATTGCGCGAATTTGAAAAAAGAACCTGCAATAAATAATCGCCCAAATCACGAGAATTGTTATATTTATTCATTAATAAGGAAGTCAACAATATTAACTTCGAATGGGGGAAAAAATCAAATCCACATTCTTATTTTGTACGTCTGTTGTTTCATATAGGAAATGAATACGAGATTGGTAAAACATAAGATGTCGATGAGAGAGAAACCCAACTACACAAATAAAAACAATAAGTAATGTATATAGTAACTTTACCATTTTGCAAACTCTAAATCGTAATTAGAATTGTACGGATAAACAGAGACTATCAACAAAATGACAAAAAACGTAATAAATAATGACAGCACATCATACTGTTCCTGACTTTGGAAAGATACATTAAAGAGTTTAACGGCATTTTTTAGAATTTAACCCAGTGGAATATATATGTGTATGAAGAAACTGTCAGTTAAAATGACACAGTTATAAGCCCCGTATTATAGACCAACAACAAAAACGCACCCGTTGATGTGCTAAGAATATCCCCATATGTCATATTGAGAGAGTAAAATCGGCACACAGGAATTAGGTATTTGACAGACCAGAGTTGCAACTCAATGATGTTAAGTTACTGACCAAATACGAAGTCTTTTTGTAATGTAATTTCTCAGATAGGACACAAAATATTTGTTAGACCGGACACACAATGTGGTTGCACTCACTCCTAGATTGAAGGTATAATACAGACAAGTAATTCAATGATTATATGTACCGTACTAAAAAAATACCCTGAAGACAAGCTTAGGTAACTTATCTATTGATACAAAATCAATAAATTTCATGCTCTAATATCGACTGCTGTACTTCCTATGAAATGTTATACTACACTGTAATCAGGTAATGGACTAAGCTAAGCTAATCCGATTTAATGTGGGTATGATTTTTTGTTCATGTAATGCCTATAGAGTAGGTCGTTAGTTTTCTTGTTTGAATTATTTCACATTTTCATGTCGGGGCTTTTTAAAGCTGACTATACGGTGTGGCTTTTTCTTTTTCTTTTTTTTTTGTGTTGAAGGCTGTAAGGTGACCTTTAATAGCGTATATCTTCGTCATTTGAACTATGGTTGATAGTTGTCTCTTTTGCAATCATACCAAATGCCCTTATTTTTATATGATCCCCCTTACTTTATAATTGTTGCACATCTTGTCATGTCGGGGCTTTTGAATAATTAAAACTATGCTAAAGCTGTGTTATCTACATGAATTGTATGACTAATGTCGGACAGAGATGCAAATTAATTTTTTTATTAGATGTATCTGTTTTGTTTCCGAACATTTCTTTTCTAAAAGTAATTTACTAGAATACTTTTTCTATCCAAGTTTCGTAACAATTCATAAAGGTTTGGCAAATATTCTATGCTATTTACGAGTAACCAGCTTTATTAATTTTCATTGCTTTCAAAAAACACCTTGGCTCTACCACTGAAATTGACAACGTAGTAGTGAACGGCGGGAAAGATTTCACGACGTTGTTGCAAATAAAACTTATTTCAACGTAGTTTTGCGCCTTATTGGCAAACGTCCCGTTTGCCATTAAAAACTAAGGTGTATTGCTTTTATTGAAAAAACAAGCACATGGACCCCCAGTTTTTTCTTTTGCAATCTATCAAGATATGTTTCAAGAATGCTCCGCCAAAATTTTAAGAAAAAATCAACGAAAGAATTTTTTCTGCACTTCTGTGAAGACGCAAAAATATTTTCGACTTCTTTATTTCACTTGTATTAAAAGAATTCAGGATATAATTATTCATTCCAACCGTTATCTTGTTACAGCATGCTGATGCCAAGGATCAAAGGAACATTTTACAAAAAAAAAACGGTAAAATTATGACTGCTAGTTCAAAAGTATTGGTACTTTCCTTAAAAGTCCTTATTTATGAAATTTCAAGGTTTTTCCTTCAATTATGCAAATTTCAAACCAAATTATCTCAAAAAGTAAGTCATGAAGGTATATTTTTCTTTGCATATTTCAAAAGTACACATCAAAATTGACCTTCTACCAAAATTTCAAGAAAAAATCAACGAGGGATCTGTACTGTATCGTATGCCCTTAAACAATATCGTTGAATATCAGAGAAAACCTAATCCGACGCCGTTTTAAAGATATGATTCTTAATTTCCGAATGGGGAATTTGTTTTAAAGGTCAATGTTTAATGAATTTCTAGTATTTTCGAAGTTAAAATAGCGTTAAACTGTTGTTCCTTTTGTATGTCTGTGTAATATTAGTATTCTAAGAGATATTTATCCAAGGTATATAAGCACAATAATCATTACGTTTATAACGAGTGTTCGTGATTTACCGACATTTTCTATTGGATAAATTATATTAATCTTATCGTGAAATAAACCATTTCTTTTCAAATTCGAGACATTTCACTTCTTTTACTTGATCTACTTTTACATATTTGTGTTCTCCAATATATTGGTTATATGACGTTGTATATCTAACGTCTTGTATTAACAACAACAACAACAACAACATCTTTCTAATCGTTCAAAAGGGTCGACAACAGTTACACAAAAAAAGTCCCTTTTTTCAGTTTTGAAAAAGGCAGAATAGATAACAAATGGGGAAATATAAAAAAAGATTAACTGACAAACACATCAAACGACTGGAAAACAACTGTCACCATCCCGACTTGGTAAAGGCATTTTCTTGTGTAGAAAATTGTTGGTTAAACCTGGTTTTATAGCTATCTAAACCTCTCACATTCATTAGTGGCGCTCGAATTAAAACAATTTGGTAACAAAAGATATACAAAGTTGAAGGGCTCTCAGCTTCCAATTCGTGCAATTCAGATTGTTACATTTTCTTCTAACGTTTTAAAAGTTACTTAGGCCACATCAAATTAATTTCTTGTTTTTTTTTTACTCTTTTCTTTGAAAAAGGGTAGCGTGCGAGCAGAATTATTTTATGTGGTTTTTCGAAATTTTATTTTTGGCAGGCGAAAGAAATTTTTACTAGCGAGCGATATAATTTTTGAAATAGTAAAATACAAATTTATGAAAAGAATTTTAAGCAAGCGAGCCTTCAGGCATTTATACATTTTTGATGCTTTTTTCAATTCCTTGATCTCATATTACAGTTCGTACATTACCCTACTTTGCATCTAAATTGTTCCCCGACACCTTGTTGTGTAATGGTTCCACATCATTTCCAATACAAAAACATTATAAACACATATGGCAAAATCAAAGGTACTTTATTTAAATCATTTGCACCACGTGACTTTGTCCCTTTTGATCAAATTACTTCCCTTAGCTTAAGATTGAAAATAAAATTTATTATAGATTTGCGGATAATCCAGTCCTTTTCCGTCATGTATCTAAAACTAATGTATCTTTAAAAACTTCCTTTGGTAGACTGGTTCTCCTGTCTAGATAAATGTGCATATTACATATTTCATATATCAAGACAGGTAGGGTTCAACGCCATCTTTTTATTTGAAATCGAGGTTGTTCTAATTTTAAAAATTTTGACGTCATCAAAATAGGAAAGCCGGTGTTTTCTCCCGGCATGCATTTGTAACTAACAACAATAAACAATATGGCAGCAGACGATACTGTGAAAGATTTTAAAGAAAAACTAAAGAATGTCTTGACACATAAAATAGCATTAACTAAAATCAACTCTACACGAAAAGTGAATTTAACGTTCTTGAAACCTTTGCAATTGCAAAGTATTCAAGGTGCAATGAAAAGTGATGCATTGATCATGCTACCCACTGGATATGGAAAGTCATTGATTTTCGAAATGCTGGCAAAAATGAACAACACAAAATGCATTATTATCAGCCCTTTAAATGCCATAATTGAAGAGCAAACAAGAAAGTTGGGTACAAAGGCTGTTAACGTTAATGCAGCGCTTACCAATAGTATTGAAGGTATTTTTAATATTCATCTCCATTCTCGACCTCAGTGAGACACTTTTTAAGGTTCATCATAACAAATGGACAAATATGGCCGTATTTTCACCCCAAAAACTACTCTGTGTACAGACTTACCTGTACAGTTTAAAAAGTTTTAAGGCCTGGCATCCACTAGATTTTCAGAAAGATGTAATCGTTTTTGGATTTTGATGGGCATTTTTTTTCCTTCCTGCAGAAGGTGTAAAAATAAACAAACACCTGAATTGCATTTGATACTGTCCACTCAGTTACTACCTTTAACTCATCTATAGATGTGTAAATATCTATTCTCTGTCTATTGTCTATGCCAATCAAGGACAATCTATACAATACAAACCAGTTGTTACCTGAAAGAGAGCATCTCAATATGTATCCAAACTTAGTTTATTTTTACACCTTCTGCAGGAACGAAAAAAAATGCCCATTAAAATCCCAAAAAGATTTTATCTTTCTGATATGCAAAATTTTAAATGTCTCCTGCCATTTGAGAAAATTCTAATATCTTTTAAATGGTATAGATCCCCACCCCTAAACCATATATATTCTGGTTTCTCATGATAAAGCACATCAAATGAAATACAGGGTTAGTCCCCAGGGGTCACCCCACCCCCTGCCACTTAAGAAAGTTCTAATATCTTGTAAGTGGTCAAGATCCCCACCCCTAAACCATATATATTCTGGTTTGTCATACCAAGATGGTTTGAATGATATACAGGGTTAGTCCCCAGGGGTCATCCGGACCCCCTGCCATTTGATAAAGTTCTAATATCTTGTAAATGGTCAAGATCCCCACCCCTAAACCATATATATTCTGGTTTGTCATGATAAAGCACATCAAATGAAATACAGGGTTAGTCCCCAGGGGTCACCCCCACCCCCTGCCATTTAAGAAAGTTCTAATATCTTATAAATGGTCGAGATCCCCACCCCTAAACCATATATATTCCTGTTCATCATGTCTCAGAACATTTGAATGACGTATAGGGTCAGTCCCCAGGGGTTCCCCCCACCCCAATGTTCTAATATCTTGTAAATGGTCGAGATCCCCACCCCTAAACCATATATATTCCTGTTCGTCATGTCTCAGAACATTTGAATGATGTATAGGGTCAGTCCCCAGGGGTTCCCCCCACCCCTAATGTTCTAGTATCTTGTAAATGGTCGAGATCCCCACCCCTAAACCATATATATTCTGGTTTGTCATGCCAAGATGATTTGAATGATATACAGGGTTATTCCCCAGGCATCACTAATGCATATAACTTTACTGGACTTTGTCCAATGTCAGGCGATCCTGGGAATTACGAATTATGGGAGCTTCGTTTGGGAGACTTCGTAACAGCATCCTGTTACAATCATTTCTTGTTTATAATTAGTTCAAACACTTTTGATGACACATTTAACCTGGCAACAATGAGTTGGGTGGTGCCCAATGATACCCCTGCCATTGTGGCAGATAATACAGATTCTTGATATAATCTGGGGGACCAGGAACCATTGATGTGTCTTTTGCTCTATGTACTTCCCATTACTTTTTTTGTGCACGTGTGAATTACTTTGGTAGCACTTTGAATTATCTACCAGATAATACATAAATTGAAAAAAAAAAAATTGATTAGTTCAATATTATATTTTAGGTTAAAATATATGACTTTAATCATTTATTAAGTCAAGAGTGCACATGTTGAAATGTCTCTCCTGCTTTACAAACCATATATTTATTAAATGTAATTATACTCATAAAAATATAAAATTTTGTAAATACATGTTGATCTTATTAATCAATGTCTAAAAATAAATGGTGTTTATGTACCAATAGATTGTTTCATTTTTATATTTTAGGTCCAGAGGGAAGAGATTTTAAGAATGGTAAATTCATGTACGTTTTTGGCCACCCTGAACAGATTCTGAAAAAAGAAATTTGTAATGTTTTTAAGCAGAAAAGTTGGGAAAATGTTTCACACATTGTAGTAGATGAGGCTCATTGTGTTGTTCAATGGGGACATGATTTTCGTCCCGATTTCAGACATATTTCGAAACTGCGTGCAATACTACCACAAGCTAAAATACTAGCATTAACTGCAACAGCTACACCAAAAATGAAGAGAGAAATTCAACAACAGCTTTGTATGAAAGATGTGTTTACACTATCAGGCCCAGTTGATAGACCCAACATTAAAATTATAGTTAAAAAACGTCTACCACTTACTGGAGGAAAGACAACAGCAGAGGGTTCATTCCAGGATGTACTTAATCCTTATATTGAGGAACTTTGTAGTGAAATTGGGAATGTTCCAAAAACTATAATATATTCAAAGCTCAAATGGTGTGGTATAGGCTATGACATGGTATCACAGGCAGCCCGTCTTGTAAATAATACTCAAGAGATACTTTCAGCAGTGTCACAGTTCCATGCACCTTGCACAGATGAGGTAATTAATATTAATATAGCAATCCTTTTTGAACGTACTAAGAAATCAAACATAGACCAGTAAAATGCAGGCAAAATTTCAAAGAAGTAATGGATAAAAAACCTAAAATCTGGTATACTGACTCCAGGTGTATACATATTTTTTTTCTATTTTCATTCTGTCTGATGTTTTTGTACATATTTTTGTATTGAATTATACTCTCATTCTTAAGGTAGAAGATTTTTCTTTTATTTTTATAATATGGTTTGGAAGAAATTTATGGGCATATTTTAGAGATATTATATCTTTTGAAGAGTTAAAAAATAAACCAATCGTTAGATGTGCCCATCCATAATATTGTCAAACAGATTATGACATTGAAATCCATTGGTTACTACATGTATTCTGAATTTTCATTCTAACTAACGAGGTCGTATACTCGTAGCCATCATGCATATAGTGCTCTTGACGTTGATTTAATTTTAATATTTGGCCTTGGACAGAGACCTTGTTCATCTTTGTACATGCATACATGTTTATATAAAAATAACAGTTTAATTGTAACATAACGTCAATGACTATGTCCACTTTATTCAAGATATTTCAAACATTAGTATAAAACATTAAACAATGAATTGAATAAAATAGTAATTGACACATAAGAAACAATAAAATGCTCCGCAGGGCGCAGCTTGATACGACCGCAGAGGTCGAACCCTGAACAGTTGGGGCAAGTATGGACACAACATTCAAGCTTGATACAGCTTTGCATTTGGATTGTGATTAAATATTTGACACAGCATAGGTTTCTGACACAGAATGAATGTGGTCTAAGAACTTAAAAATTTTAAATTGGACATTCACCTATTATGGTCCAATATCCAAAATCTAAAAACATGGTTAGATTCAGCATATCAAAGAACCCCAAGAATTCAATTTTTGATGAAATCAAACAAAGTTTAATTTTGGACCCTTTTGACCTCAATGTGGACAAAGTTGATAACGGGGCCCAAAAATCAAAAATCTAAATACATGGTTAGATTCAGCATATCAAAGAACCCCATATATTCAATTTTTGTTGAAATCAAACAAAGTTTAATTTTGGACCCCGATTTGGACCAACTTGAAAACTGGGCCCATAATAAAAAATCTAAATACATGTTTAGATTCAGCATATCATAGAACCCTAAGAATTCAATTTCTGTTAAAATCAAACTAAGTTTAATTTTGGACCCTTTGGACCTTAATGTAGACCAATTTGAAAACGGAACCAAAAATTAAGAATCTAAATACACGGTTAGATTCGGCATATCAAAGAACCCCAATAATTCAATTTTTGATGAAATCAAACAAAGTTTAATTTTGGACCCTTTGGACCTCAATGTGGACCAATTTAAAAACGGGGCCCAAAATCCAAAAACTAAATACACGGTTAGATTCAGCATATTAAAGAACCCCAAGAATTCAAGAATAAAACCCCATTGAAATTGGTCAAGAAATAAGCAATTTATACGAAGTATCTTCTTTTGCACAATACTGTGCAATTAAATATTTCTTGCTATTGCGCAATACTGTACAATTGACAATTTCTTGCTATTGCGCATATTGTGCTATTGGATATTTCTTGCTATTGCGCAATACTGTGCAATTGAAGATTTCTTGCTATTGCGCAATACTGTGCAATTGAAGATTTCTTGCTATTGTGCAATACTGTGCAATTGAAAATTTCTTGCCATTGCACAGTACTTAATATATAATAATTTACACATCTTGTTTGGTGTGTATCTCCTACCATATCATTATTATTTGCTTTTAAATATAAATCAGAAATAACCAACTTAAAATGGAAAATTTTAAAAGAAAAAAAAAGGAAAAAAAAGAAAAAAAAGGAAAAAAAAAAAATCCCCCCCCCCAAATTTTTTGAACCCCCTTATGATTCATCACCCCAAAACTCATTCCCAGCCTTCCCTTTGTGGTATGGTACCTTGCAGTACAATTTCAGAGAGATCCATACACTTGAACACAAGTTATTGTCTGGAAACTAGAAAATGTGTTTTTTGGCCCCTTTTTGGCCCCAAATTCCTAAACAATTAGGACAATTACCCCCAAACTCAAACCCAGCTTTCCCTTTGTGATATGGAACCTTGTAGTACAATATCAGAAAGATCCATACACTTACACACAAGTTATTGTCCTGAAACTAGAAAAATGCTTGTTTTTTGCCCCTTTTTGGCCCCTAATTCCTAAAATATTGAGGCAATTACCCCCATCATCAATCCCAGCCTTCCCTTTGTGGTATGGTACCTTGCAGTACAATTTCAGAGAGATCCATACACTTGAACACAAGTTATTGTCTGGAAACTAGAAAAATGCTTATTTTTGGCCCCTTTTTGGCCCCCAATTCCTAAACGTTTCAGCAATTACCCCTAAACTCAATTCCAGCTTTTCCTTTGTGATATGGAACCTTGTAGTACAATTTCAGAAAGATCCATGCACTTACACACAAGTTATTGTCATGAAACTAGAAAAATGCTTGTTTTTTTGCCCCTTTTTTGGCCACTAATTCCTAATATTTTGAGGCAATTACCCCCAAAATCAATCCCAGCATTCCTTTTGTGATATGGAACCTTGTGGTACAATGTCAGAGAGATCCATACACTAACACACAAGTTATGTCTGGAAGTTACAAAAATGCTTATTTTGGCCCCTTTTTTGGCCCCTAATTCCTTTACTGTTGGTACCATAACCCCCAAAATCAATCCCAACCTTCCGTTGGTGGTATTGAACCTTGTGGTAAAATTTCAAAGAGATCCATTCACTTAAACTTAAGTTAGAGTGCGAAAACCAATGTGTCTTCGGACGACGCCGGACGACGACGACGACGACGCCAACGTCATACCAATATACGACCACAAAATTTTTTTTGCGGTCGTATAAAAATGAAAACATTATAAATCATTTGCATTTGTAATTAATGATATAATTTTAGATGAAAAAAAATATAGCACAGAACATGGCAGATACAAATGGATCCATAAAGTTGCTTTTTGCAACTCAAGCCTATGGTATGGGAACTGATGCCCCAGATGTTGAAAGGGTTTGTCACATTGGACCACCAAGTTCATTAGAATGCAAGTATTATGGCTATATTACATATTATACTATGGGTTATAGAAACAGAAATACTTCATTATTCCAGTTATGGACCCTTGTGGGTTTTAAATTTCATACAATGATAACAATAATTTTTGTTATAATTAAGGAATGACTGTAATATTTTTTTTCTGTCTATGAAGAAATAACATCAAAAATGTGGTGCACACTGAATAACCCGTGTAGCAGGTTATTTTAAAGTGTGCACCACTTTTTTTATGTTATTTCGAATAGACAGAAAATATATTACAGTCATTTCTTATAATTTAATTCTTAATTCCATTTTAAACCGGAGTAAATCATGAAAAAACGTTGATGACGTCAAGGTCACATGACAAAATTATGTCTATAAACTGATAAACAAAACAATGTCAGCCAATCGGAAGACGTGTTACATCCAAAATTAAATTATATGACAATGAAATAATAATAAAATAAAATACAGCATAAAAATCACTGAATACATAGAAGAGAAAGTTAATATGGGAGACAATCAATAAATATGTAAGGATTATTCCCCTTTAAACAGTATCTAATAATTTTTAAAGATATGGTGTTCAGCGTTGGATAAAAAAAGAAGCCCCAACTGATTAAATATAAGGGTAGTTTTCTCCCATGTACACACAGCAACAAATAACTAAATATTTATGTATATAATATTTAAATTGCAAGAATTGGATAAGCACCTTTACAAGTTTGACTGCAGTCTAACACATATATTAGGAATTAACATAATATATATATAAAAATATATATACATGAAATATGCATACGCATAAACAGAGTAATGTGTATTTTATTTTATTTTTTTTTATTTTAAAATATATATAGATAAACTAAAAGAGATTTAGCCATTTGTATAATTTTTGGAACTCAATTCAAAATGCTGGATAAGAAAATTACATAAAAAATATAACTTTTCAAGTATATATTTATCTTCCATGGTCATTAACCATAAACATTTTGATTTGCAGTCTAAGTTATTAAAATTTTGATAGTGCTCATGAGCTTGTGTAAACAATAATTCTCAAAAGTTATCATATAATGGACAGTTATTTCAAAAATGAAACTCATCTTCTATATCATTATGAGAACAAAAATTACAAGTCCTCTGTGACCTATCTATAGGTTTGTTTGTAGAGTGCTATTTTTCCACTCGTAATTGATGGGCACATATGCATATGCAAAATTTACATATTTATTAATATTTGTCCTAATTCAAAACTTTGAATATCAAGATATTTTTCCATTTTGAAATTACTTTTATGAGAAAAATATGTATCCAGCTTTCCAGTAACATTATCATCATCAGTGTAGCATGCTTTCAAAAACAATGTCTTTTAACTTTTTCATAATAAGTTGTTTTAATCTATTAATTGAATAATAAATATGTTTCTATTAATTCAAGCTTTTCTACAATAAATTTAACAGAGTAGTACCAATAATTCAGTCATAGTGTCATTTTCATGCATATTTTTGTTACATATAAAGGCTTCTTTCAATAAATTTGAGTTACAACGATTATATATGTCTCCCCTTCATTTTTTTGAAAATCTGCATTGTACACCATCAAATTTAATAAGTCCAGCACAAGACATTTTGACTTTGAACAACATATCACTGATAAAAATCAAATTATTGTTCCAGATAACACATCTTTGACAAAAACAAAAAAGAAGCAATAATTTGACCTTGAGGTCAAAAATCAAGCTCACATATAAGTTATGATGGTACCCTACACATCATCCTGTTGTGATATACCTACATTCCAAATATCATAACACTTTGTAAAAGATGAAAAGTTATAGGGGTTACAAGTATGTACAATACAAAAATCAATAATTTCACCATGAGGTCAAAGGTCAATGCTATATGTTGGTCACCTCTTCTAATGGTGATACACCAACATTAAAAAAAACATGAGACTTTCACACAAGATGAAAAAAAATGATCATGAGGAAAACAATTTCACAATGACTAATTGCACCACTAGCTCCTCAAAACAAAATTGCAGTTCAAAGATTTGTAATATGTAATACGTTTTTTTGTTTTTTTTCATGTCAGAACAAAACATTTGAAAACTGAAAGGGAATGATTTTACAAATACAATAATTGTTTACTCATTTAGGTTATCTACAAGAAATTGGAAGAGCTGGTAGAGATGGTCGACAAAGCAGTGCATTTATGCATTATAATATGAGTGATATTGCCACCAACACCATTGTACAACCAGAAGTGAGAGAATTCTGCCTCCTTAAAACATGCAGAAGAAAATTTCTGAGCCAGTATTTTGAAACAGAAGCAGATTTAGATTCAATGCTAAAGCATAACTGCTGTGATGTATGTGAAAAAGATTGTGAATGTGATTATTGTCTTGTAAGTGAAGTTGAAAAGTGTGAAGTTATAGATAATTGTCAATGTGCTGATGAACCTGATTGTAAACAATTAAAGGAAATGCTGGAATCTTATTTTAAGGCAGAAAATGATCAAATAAACATGTTAAACCAACAGCTTGTGTCAGGATTGACCCAAAATTTGTGTGACAAAATTGTTTTGTACTACAAAGACATTAAATGTGAAGGGGACATTCAGGGGTTATGTCCTTATGTACACCTAAAGCTGCATTATTTGAGTAACATTTTACTCATTGTACAAATATTGAATTAAATTAACCCAATTTTACACTATATATTTATCAATTAAGTCAGTGAACAAAATTCTGTGCTTTTTGAGCAGTTAAAATGCATTGACTGGGCCATTTCAGTTTTAAAAAAATATTTATGAAAAAAAGCAACAACAAGAAAATGGACCTATCTTATTATGATTTTCAGAAGTGAACAAACTTTGGACTTACTGCTTAAATATTAAAGAACACCTTATTTGCAACATTTTTATTAAATTGTTTGACTGTAAGAAATAAAATGTACCTCTTACTTTGTTCACAAATAGTTGTTAAAACAATGGGAGATAACTCCAATTATGCAGGAAAGTAAATATTTTAATTCCAAATAAGAGTATATTGCCAAAAATGGAATAACCAGTTCCTGGTCTATGAAACAGCAATGAAAAGAACCAATATTCTGTACATTGCATATGCTAATTGTAAATTTGAAAAATAAAGGAAACAGAGTAACTGATCATGCATTTTCTTTTATAGTATGTAAAAATATTTCATGTAACTAATTAAAAAGTTGAAAATATTTATAGATTATAAGAAGTTACTATTGTATGTTAATTCCATTGATTTTACATGTACCAGAAACCAGCTTTTAAAAAAAACCTCTACTGTGGACTGTTATATATCAAATATCACCACAAACCAAAGGTGGAATATATTTGAAAAAATAATGATGGATTGGACAAAAGCTATAGCAGTTTTTAATTAAGAATACCTATCATAAAAATATGGAGAATTGGTAAGATTGCCAATGAGACAACTCTCCACCAAAGTTCAAAAGAAGTAGATGTAAGCAATTATAGGCAATGCAACCATATATATAGCCTTCAACAATGAGATAAACCCATACCTTATAGTCCGCTATAAAAGGTCCCACTTAAAAATGGAAAAAAATGAATTGAGAAAACTAACTGCCTTATATATTTATATCAAAACAATTAAAAAAAACAAATATGAGAGACATCAACCAACGACATCAGGCTCAGGACATGGGACAGGCATAAAATGGTGTAATTATCAAATACAACATAACAACAATCTACAAAAATCAGATGAAATATCTTCACTCATCAGATCAATACAAAAAAAAACAAGTAACAAAAAACAAACTGGACCTGGCAAAGGAATTTATACATCCCTCACAACAAAAAAGACACAAAGTACAGACTTGATAGTCATTATATTATGTAAATGTTTAGTTCCCATTTTCCAAAGCAAATTTAACTTTTCTGGTATTGATCCAATTGTGATAATGGTCGACATCAAGGTTTTGAACAACAGATGATGAAATTTCTCCAAAAGATGAATGTTTCCTACCAGGTTGACAATGAAAAGGTCTTATATCTCGTAAATCTGACAGAATTGCCAGTTCATCTGCCTTAGATGATTTGCCGGAATGTTTTTTGGAACGTATAATTACCCCTGACTGTTTGTCAAAATTTTCTGAAATTTCGTGAATTCCAGATATTGCCCTGGTACGGTTTGAAATGTTCTCTTCAGTTTTGTTGGAGTACATATGTTTAACATGTTCTTTTACTTCTTTGACAAGGTATTCCATCCTTCGGTCAGCAGGAATATGCGTGTCAAATTTGCCTCCTGTATTTACAAACATGGAGTAGAATTCCTCATTGGAGCCTTTCTCAGACAAAGTACATAGTTGATGTACCAGAAGTCTGAGTATTTCTAAGGCGTACTTAGATAGATTGTTATGGACTTTGAAATACATCATAGCAAGTTTTAACAAGCGTATCCCTCTTACTCTTTCTGGCATATGTATCATATCTATCAAGTCTTTAAACAGCAATCCTAGCTGGAGTATTTGATTTCCATAATTACTAATTTTATCACCTTTCTTTGACTTTGATATTGTTTTCTTCATGAGTGTGATGGTTTTCCCATTTTCCAAAACTAATCGGAAACACTGACCATCAACTGTAAAGAAATAGTTTTCAAAATGAGATACATATTTTAAATCAATATATCAATCATATTTGAAAAAAATTACTATCCAATCATTTTGCATTTAAGATTTGAATGCATGTCTTGTTTGTTGTTTAATATAAAACAGAAAATGTGGTATGAATGCCAATGAGACAACTCTCCACAAGAGACCAAATGACACAGAAATTAACAATTATAGGTCACCATACGGCCTTCAACAATGAGCAAAGCCCATACCACACAGTCAGCTATAAAAAGCCCCGAAATGACAATGTAAAACAATTCAAACAAGAAAACTAACGGCCTAATTTATGTACAAAAAATGAACGAAAAACAAATATGTAATACATAAACAAACGACAACCACTGAATTACAGGCTCCTGACTTGGGACAGGCACATACATAAAGAATGTGGCGGGGTTAAACATGTTAGCGGGATTCCAACCTAACCTGGGACAGTGGTGTAACAGTACAACATAAGAACGAACTATAAAAATCAGTTGAAAGAGGCTTAACTCATCAGATGGATAAGAATACAAATACTACAAATACAAGTGGACGTGGCCGGGTACTTGTACATCCAAACAACAAAAAGACACTAAGTACAGATCTGAGAGTACTCACAGTTACTGACAGCTAGTTCAAAGCCACTAACAACTAATAAAAAAAATCATGCATATAAGACTAAATTATCAATCCGTACACATCCAACATCCAATGGATTTAGTGTAAAGACGTCATAAACAGTCAGAGAAAAACATGACCTTGTGCAATGCCAAGATACAGGTATCGACAGATTGTAGATCCATGAATGTGTATATGTATATAACAATAATATTTAGTTTGCTTTTAATTTACTGATAACAAAATCAATATTAGTACCAATAAAAACAATATTTAATGATCTAATTACAGTGTTGAATTGGTAACCTTTTAGAAAAGTTTATTTAAAGGATCGATAAGTTTACCAGGATCGTTTCTAAATTTCCGGGCACGGTAAACAATATTGCCGTAAAAATGAGGATGTGCAATCCCGTTTGAAATAAGTTTTCTACAGGTACAACCAAACTTCAAAACCAAATCTTTATATCTGTGGAAGAATAAAGTAAAGGTTTTAAGTAATTTGTGGTAACGAAATCCCTGGCTTAATAATTTACCAGTAATACATAGATTACATTTGTTAAAATCAAAAACGTCACAACAGACATGGGCATAGCGAACGATTTATGAAATATAAACACCGTAAGATGGTGCCAAAGGAACATCACCATCCAAAAAGGGAAAATTAACAATAGGGAACGAAAAATCGTCCCTTTTGTCATAAATCTAAGTGTGGAGTTTCCCGTGTAAAACCGAAATATCTAAATCTAGGAAAGGACAGTTGTTACCATTTAAATTTGATCTATTTAAAGTAAGTTCCTTTGGGTAAATTTCGGCAGTATATTGAGAAAATTCTTGATTATTTAACGAAAAAATATCATCAAGATAACGGTAAGTGTTGTTGAATTTATCAATTAAATGCAATTTAGACGGGTCTTTACTGAGTTTGGTCATAAACTGTGATTCATAACAGTACAAAAACAAGTCTGCTATAAAAGGGGCGCAATTTTTGCCCATAGGAATACCTACAACCTGTCGATAAACTTAGCTGCCGAAACGTGCATAAATATTATCAAAGAGAAAATTAACAGCTTCAATCATCTCATCACACCTCCAGTAAGTATGTCTAGCATATTTACCTTTCTCATTAGAGAAGAAGGCTTTAAATGAGTTGCATCAAATATATTTGCATTCAGATTTACCAAACGACCATTTATTTAAATAGTCCAATTTTTTTTTGATAAGATTGTGTGGAAGTTTAGTGTAAAGAGTAGAAAAGTCAAAACCGTCGACAGAATCAAAAGGACAATCAATAGAACGTAATTTATCTAAAACATCCAAAGAATTTTTTACACTCCAAAAATAGTTAATTCCACTACTTTCATATATTTTATTACAATAGTTTATGATAAGCTCTTTGATAGTAGTTAAGGAACTTGTTAAAAGCACTGAAAGATTAGTTATAGAACACTTACTAGAGGGCGAGATGGAATGATATTTTACTGGTTTTTTGTGTAATTTAGGTAACCAATACATAGTAGGGACCTTCAAATGTTCAGAAGAAGCATTAAGCTGTGATGTGGTTATGATATACTGTAAAAGTGTACATTAAATAATATGTGCAGCAAATGGTATAAATAAAACCATAAGGAGTTAACTCTCCATGCTTCTGAAAGACCAAAATTAGTGTTTGTCAAACTGCTAATACATGTATATCCCAGACATGGGGTCAATTACTTTTGAAAGTAATTAATTACATTCAATTACAATTACAAAATCTTCAATTAAATTACACATTACATTTGACTTTTTTTACCAATGTAATTAATTACTTTCCAATTACTTGTCAAATGTAATTAATTACTTCAATTACTTTTGAAAGGAAAATTTAAAATATTGAAAACATGCATTTATTCAGACTTCTATGATATGTACATAAGTATCATACATTGCTTAATAGTAATAACAAATGAGATCTTCAGCAACTATTTTCTAATTCAGCCAGTATCAAAGAATAGTAAAAGTTAGATATCTGGTGTGTTACGGCAAAAAAAGAAAAAAAAACATACATAAATCTGAAGTGCACATAATACTTTGTCCATCCGGAATCGTAAGGGATAGAGGTCAGGTTTAATCTAATGCTCAAAATGATAAAAAGCCTTATTTAATATTTTGAAAATATTAAATTTTGTTATAATTACCAGTATTGAAATTTATATTTTAATGTATTTCATTGAAAATGATACAAAAAGCGGGCCCTAATTTTAATATTATGAAATGATTTTTTATATTGATCAAAACTTGATTTAGAAAGCCTGACTTTTTTTTAAAATATACTTTACTTTTAATCACAATTGATTTAAAAAACTTCATGTACCTAGCTATAGGGGTATATTTATCTATCTCCAATTGTCTTAACACCTGTTTAACATGCAAACTTAACTGTTGTGAAAACAGTCATTATATAATTTATAATAAAACAAATAGCCAGAAGTTATATTTGTTGATTGACTATGTCCTTTAAAATTGCATGATCATGTTAAATCAATGTCTAGCAATAAAGTATTCATTCAATATCTATCTGAATATACATATAGGTAACAAAGCTAATTACGGTACAAGACAGTGACTTACTACTGGTTTCTTTTAAACACAAATTATGGCATGTTTCTTAAATCTTTATTTTTCTTCTTTTTTATTTTTTGTTCAATCAATACAAAATAAAGAATCTCCCATGGTTGTGTAATTACAGAAGTATACTGTATAGGCTTTGCTTTGTCAGCTAACTACATTTACTGAGGTCATGGCTTTTCATCATATTTTGAGAAAACACAAGATTCAATCTTTCTAATAAAAAAATTTAAATGTAATTGAGTTGTAATTGAAAAGTAATTGTCAATTACAGACAATTTTGGCTATGTAATTCATTACTTTCAAAACAATTACTTGAGAAATTGTAATTAATTACGGTCAATTACAATTACATATTTCAATTACCCCATGTCTGGTATATCCAATAAAATTATTCCTAGTTGTAAGATGAAAAACAGAAATATACATCATATAAGTTACAATTTGATTGCACATTTGTGCTCATATTTCCATGTAGCAGTATATAATCTCAATAAGAACAGATTTTGAAGTTTAGAATTCTGTCAGAATTAATTTATTAAAAAAAATCAGATTTTTTACTTATTCATGCTGAAAGTTAGTTTATAATTTGACCAGTGTTAGTTGTAACATTTATGGTAAAAATCAAAATCCTCCCACCACCCAATTTATTTAATCCTTGCATCCTGTCCAAACCTGCTTTTCATATCAGTGTGTCTGATCCAGGATTCAAGGATATGTTTATTTTGATCAAGGTGGATAGTAATGTACACATCAAGTTTATTTGGTCAAATAGTTGCTTTTAATGTTTCAGGCTCATATATATATACCTTCCAGCATCTGTTGTTTTGCCCCAGTGGTTATAGTTTGGAGGAAAACATGTTGTTTGACTATTATCTCCACAGTACTGAAATACCATTCCTTCATTTCGTCATTTGTGTTAAAGGTTGGTGGCACATGTTTAGTTGGCATTGAATATTTATCTTCCATACCAAAAAACTCCAAGAAACACTCCACAATATACATGTCAGTAACAGAAATGAAAAAGTCTTTGTTTGCTTCATAGTGATCATTAACATTGTCACCAATATTTTTTCTGGAAAGTCTATCTTGGAGAGATTTTAATGTTCCAATATCTTGACCACTTTCTTGTCTGTATGTGATGTTCAATGACATTTAGAGGTAAGACATCAACATATGGAAGAGTTCAAATGTTATTGGACTCAAGTGGCTGAATTTGTCAGCAGGGTTAAGATGGTGTGCTCTGAGTGACTTTGCTCCTGAGAATCTCTCTCTTGTAAGCTGGTCACCTCCTATCTGAAATGTTTGATCACCGAGTTGTTTTCCTGCTTTATCATGAGCATCTTTCAAACATTTCTCATAGAAGTCAAGTATCCCTACAACATCTTGATAATATTGCTCATTTTTGAACAGAACAGGTAAGGGTATAACTTCTGACTTTTTTTTCAAGTTAGGACTGCATGGTGTACTGATGTTAATTGGAATAATATCTGAAAATCTTTTGAAGTAGGGAATGTGTTCAAGAACAACCCTTGACATTAGGATGATATAGTCAGTTGTTATATGGTTGTAGTCTTCCTCTGATGGTATGAAGTTTTGAACCGGTGTGTGACTATATAGCTGTTGTGGTACAACTCTGTCTAGATTGGTAAAGGTCAGGTTTTGAACTATTACTGCTGAACCAAAGGCATGCATCATTTTCTGTTTGTTGTTTATTCTTTGGTCATGAACACCAACAGTCCAATTGATGTTGTCACCAATTATCCTGAAACGAATGTTGTTCTTTACCAGCTTCACAACCTTATCATTAAAATGGCCTCCAATCAACTCTACAATTTGTAAGCTTCTTTCATAGCTTAGGCATACTCCCACTGTCTGAAGCCTGTCAAACACCTGCAAGTTAAATGAAGCTTCCTTAATATGATTTATATTTTAAAACTAATAATTCTGTTAAAATCAAATTAAGTGAGTAAACAAATTAGTATTATGTGTATTGAAGTTTAATTGTATTCACAGTTATTCTGTTAGCTAAACTTGAACAGAAAACACATTAAAACCAGAAGTGTAACATATGTCCCAAATAAAACCGCCTTTTTGTTCAGCTAGTGGGCAGTTTTTGCTGTACAGTATATTTATAACACGAGGCTACCAGGTTCCAGTTATACCTCACATGGTACCATACTGCACTGCTCACTGGTTCAAAGTTCCCTTTAAGTATTTAATGTTTTGTAATACTATAATTATCCTAATTTAGCCATATAAGATGGCGGTCATCAACTTCTATAAGAAGATCTAGATCATTATATACATGATAAATTATCATTTAAGAAAATTAGTAGCAACTAGATATCATTGAGATGGGAGCCATCTCTGTGGGCCTCGATGTGAATAATGTGTGGTAAAAAATTTGTATCTTTATCATTGGACATGGGGTTGTCAACTGAAACCAAAGTTTTTGACCTTGACCTTTGACATAGGAAGTTGTACATAAATTATGACACACCCTCTGGTGTTGGTTTATATACATGTCAAGTATAAACTTTGAAATCATAACGGTTCTCAAGATATAGAGCGGACACGATCTTTACCATAGGACATGGGGTTGTCAACTAAAACCAAATTTTTTTACCTTGACCTTTGACCTAGGAAGTTGTACATACATTATGACACACCCTCTGGTGTTGATTAATATACATGTCAAGTATAAACTTTGAAATCATAACGGTTCTCTAAATATAGAGCGGACACAATTTGTTACGGACGGACGAACAGACTGATCAATATAGGGCGTCCGCCATTCGGCGGGGCCCTAATTAATTGTTTACATATCAGTTTTTACAATTATTTATAGATTTTTAATTTCATTAATGATTTTAGGTTTTTAGTATTTATAAAAATTGGAGTGGAGACTTTGAGGTATTGTAAATTGCTCATTGTTGAAGGCTGTATCCTGACCTAAAGTTGTTAATAAAGGTGCCATTTGGTCTCTTGTGGAGAGTTGTCTCATTGGCCATCATACTAAATTTTTATTTCATCAACACCAAGGTATATTCTCCATCTTCTTGTTTAAGAATTTCCAGTATAACAGCTAGAAAGAACAATACTGGAATGATCACCATTGCATAATATAGGAATCAAAGATGAATTCCCATTACATTATTAGTATTAAACCTATAAATCATTTATTTACCTTTTGATCACATATGTTGTCAAACAAAAACAGTGATGTAACACGTTGAATTCTGCTGAGCTCTTTGTTTCTTCCCTGCATTAGCATGCTGTAAACCATTCCTATTCTTGGAATAATAGCTTCTATTTTCTCTTTATTCTCCATGTCCTCTGGTGTTAAGAACATGGTTAATATTAAACTGAAAACTGTTGGAAACTTTACCATGAACTCGCTAATAATTTCATTCCATTTAAAAGATTTCAAATCCTCTGGGTTTTTTTTCATCAATTCACTGACGTAAAATAGTTTCCTATTTCTTAGAAGATTGGACATTAAATTCATTTCTTCCATAAAAAGGCACAAAATGTTCTCTTTAAAACCCTCAGTTGTGAGAAGTTGTTTGATAATTTCTCTTTTGTTTTCTGTTTTAATGACTGACATGAGAATTTCGGTGTCTGCTTCTTTCATAATTGTTTTTGCATTGATATCTAAATTGTTTTTAAAATCCATGATTTTCTCTACCATTAAATTTTTCACAACAGGAGTAGGCTTTGATACAATGTAATCATGATCTATGGGTGCTGAAATTGTTGATCTTTGTTTATCTTCTTTACATTTAGATTTTACAATTGAAGATTTCTCGTTATTTTTGGAATACATATGATCAACAGATGTTGAACATGAACCTGTTTGATTTGATGTTGCAGAATCAGATGAAGCCAATGAAGATGTTAGGTTTGATATTACAGACTCTGAAGAAGCCATAGATGTCATAGAAGCTGTTTGGATGGATGTTGCTGATTCAGATGTAGCAGTAGAAGTCAATGAATCTAATGCAAGTTGATGAGAAGATGATGCTGATAATGATGATGCAGACTGTAAAGATAGGATACCTGATACATGTACTTGGTCTGTTTCTGTATCTATTTAAAAAGTGAAATGGAAAAATAAAGAAGAGCATACAAATTTGTGCCAATTAATAAAACTGTTTTCAAAATAGGAAAATGTTGATTCATAAAACCAAATTTTAAAATAAGATTATTACTGTCATACACATTGTGCCTGTCAAACAGAATTTAACTGATATTCTTAGATAAGTTAATTTAAGTCTTGTACGAGACCTCACACCAGTTTTGATACTGGAAAGAAACAGGACAGGTGTTACATGTAAAACAGGATGTGCTCACCCTTCCACAACATCTGATATCACCTTATGTTCATAGGATTTTGTTTACTCCTTTAGAATGTTTGAATGTTGTCTGCTTTGGTTGATTGTTGTTTTTATGAGTTTTCTGGTGATTTGCCTCTTAAATTGCATTGTTACTATATAAGATTGAGAACAAGAGTCTGTCAGAGTGACAGCAAACCAGAACTTCCTGCATGAAAATGATATTTGCAAATCTTGAAACTCAAACAGGATCAAGTAAAAATGAAACATTAACACACACACAAAAAAACCACATAACAATCTTTTTACAACTCCTGTCTAAAATCATTTGAAGATATAATCCTTGATATACTACATGTACCTATCCATATACTTATTAATTACACCATTCCTGTTCAAACTAAAATTACTCATAAATAAAAATAGATCATATTATAAGTATCACTTTTGACAATCTATCCATAAAATTATTAATTTTACCATTTCTGAGCAAAGGGAAATAACTCAAAATAAAAGTAAATAGTATCATAAATATTGCATTTCGCTACTGAAAGCTAAAATCGTGAAAAAGAACTTGACGTACATTTCGTCACAGGAAACCACATATCTAAATTTGAAAAGATTTCATCATAGCGAATCCATGTTAATAAACGAACACTGCTTGGCAGCAAATGGAAAAATTGGTTATTGATAAGGTGATGTACGGTGGACGGGCTGTCCACCGTACATCACCTTATCAATAACCAATTTTTCCTTTGGTTAATAATTGAAGGAATCCACTATTTGTTGTTGTTTTTCCAAAATTGTTATCCCTTGGTCAAGGTACAATGTCAAAAGTTAAACCAGCACAATATCGTGGCTACCATAAATTAATTCTTAATTTTTTAATAATCTTAGTTAGCTATTGTGCATAATAATTCAATTTTAAAGTAATTAATTGATAGTTATACAAAATTACAATTATATGTATTTACAATGGTTCCTGGTCCCCCAGAAACTTTATAGTAAAGAATCTGTATTATCTGCAATTTTGCAAGGGTTTCATTGGGCACCACCCAACTCATTGTTGCCAGGTTTAAGTAAACATATATTTTAAATTAATTACCTTCATCTGATAAATGTAAACCAATGAATGAAATGTCATCTTCATCTTCACTTTCACTGAAAACTGTTGCATAATGAGTAGATGGTTTGGGTGTTGACATATTTATTCTTTTTGGTGGATTAATATGTGGTGACGAAGCCATTCGTTTCGACATTCCAGCATTTTTTTGGCATTCATTGTAGAAATCAGTATTCTTTTTGTGAAGAGTGTCAACTTTTTTACTGCATTTTCTACATACTGTCCCACTTTCAACATTAATTCCACCATATTTCTTCAATAAATCTTTTAAACAATAATCTTTCCCTTTTAACTTTCGGATGGTTTCTACTCTACGGGCCTCCTTTGCAAATTTTCCACACACTAAACAAATATCTCTATCACATTCTCTCTGCTTGATAGGTGTACCTTGGCCTACATTCATCCTTTTGGTGTCGGAAGTCAACTTTATAAAGGAAAGATTAAAAGTATGCATCATTAATACAATTTTCCTGTAAACTCTGAAAAGCCTGTATTACATGAAATCGAAAGGGATATGCAATTTACAAAGTAGTTGAGGTGTGTAATTGGGCTGTATAAGTATCCATCAACAGCCATATAGCTTTTAATTTGAAGCAATGACCACATACATGTACTGTCTTTATTTATTCCATTACACAAAGAAGCAATATTCTTGTATAGCCCACCATAAGGTATGGGTTTTTCTCATAGTTGAAGGCTGTACGGTTGCATGTAACTGCTTACAACAACTTCATTTGAACTTTGGTGGATAGTTGTCTCATTGGCAATCATACCACATCTCCTATTTTTATAGCAGTGTTGATAGCATACTTGACGATAATGTACCTTACCCGGTAATCTACTCCTTAAAATTCATGATTTTCAAATAAACATGATTTTTTTTTAATATCAATAAAAAGAAGCTGGTTTAATATATTTCATTATTCTGTCCCTTTATTTTTTATTGATGTTCAAACTGCGGCACAAATTGAACTGACCTTGGTCTTTGTTAAATTTCAAAATCTACATATATAATTCATGTTTGTTTTGTTGTTCAGGTTGGTGCTAAAAGTCTCTTCACATCTATAAATAAAAATATTTAATACAATATTTTATCCTGCAATCAACCAATTTTTATTCAATTAACAGGTGCACATATAAATGTTTGTTTTTTTTATTTACTGGACAAATAAAGTTTTTGGTATCGTATTTTTAATTAGAGTTGAGGGTGCAGACAAGGAAGAAAAGTAAACCAGTCTAAGATGGACATGATAGCTTAAGAAGACACCACTAAATCTTTGAGATAGTGTGTAAATGTTGCTTATTTCATCTGTATTACTTAATTTAAAATATGGTCCTCAAGCTCATACAAATAAATTTTAACAATTAAAGTATATTGTGTTTTTATCCTGCACCTATTAGAGGTTCCCTTTTTTCAAGTTTTGTAACCGTTGCCAATATAGCTTTTATTTTCAAACAATGACCACATACATGCAATGTCTTTATTTATTCCATTAGACAAAGAAGTAATGTTCTTTTATAGCCCACCATAAGGTATGGGTTTTTCTCATAGTTGAAGGCTGTACGGTTGCATGTAACTGCTTACATCAACTTCATTTGAACTTTGGTGGATAGTTGTCTCATTGGCAATCATACCACATCTCCTATTTTTATAGCAGTGTTGATAGCATACTTGACGATAATGTACCATAATCTATACTCCTTAAAATTCATGATTTTCAAATAAACATGATTTTTTTTTAATATCAATAAAAAGAAGCTGGTTTAATATATTTCATTATTCTGTCCCTTTATTTTTTATTGATGTTCAAACTGCGGCACAAATTGAACTGACCTTGGTCTTTGTTAAATTTCAAAATCTACATATATAATTCATGTTTGTTTTGTTGTTCAGGTTGGTGCTAAAAGTCTCTTCACATCTATAAATAAAAATATTTAATACAATATTTTATCCTGCAATCAACCAATTTTTATTCAATTAACAGGTGCACATATAAATGTTTGTTTTTTTTTTATTTACTGGACAAATAAAGTTTTTGGTATCATATTTTTAATTAGAGTTGAGGGTGCAGACAAGGAAGAAAAGTAAACCAGTCTAAGATGGACATGATAGCTTAAGAAGACACCACTAAATCTTTGAGATAGTGTGTAAATGTTGCTTATTTCATCTGTATTACTTAATTTAAAATATGGTCCTCAAGCTCATACAAATAAATTTTAACAATTAAAGTATATTGTGTTTTTATCCTGCACCTATTAGAGGTTCCCTTTTTTCAAGTTTTGTAACCTTTGCCAATATAGCTTTTATTTTCAAACAATGACCACATACATGCAATGTCTTTATTTATTCCATTAGACAAAGAAGTAATGTTCTTTTATAGCCCACCATAAGGTATGGGTTTTTCTCATAGTTGAAGGCTGTACGGTTGCATGTAACTGCTTACATCAACTTCATTTGAACTTTGGTGGATAGTTGTCTCATTGGCAATCATACCACATCTCCTATTTTCATAGCAGTGTTGATAGCATACCTGACGATAATGTACCATAATCTACTCCTTAAAATTCATGATTTTCAAATAAACATGATTTTTTTTTAATATCAATAAAAAGAAGCTGGTTTAATATATTTCATTATTCTGTCCCTTTATTTTTTATTGATGTTCAAACTGCGGCACAATTTGAACTTACCTTGGTATTTGTTAAATTTCAAAATCTACATATATAATTCATGCTTGTCTTGTTGTTCAGGTTGGTGCTAAAAGTCTCTTCACATCTATAAATAAAAATATTTAATACAATATTTTATCCTGCAATCAACCAATTTTTATTCAATTAACAGGTGCACATATAAATGTTTGCTTTATTTATTTACTGGACAAATAAAGTTTTTGGTATCATATTTTTAATTAGAGTTGAGGGTGCAGACAAGGAAGAAAATTAAACCAGTCTAAGATGGACATGATAGCTTAAGAAGACACCACTAAATCTTTGAGATAGTGTGTAAATGTTGCTTATTTCATCTGTATTACTTAATTTAAAATATGGTCCTCAAGCTCATACAAATAAATTTTAACAATTAAAGTATATTGTGTTTTTATCCTGCACCTATTAGAGGTTCCCTTTTTTCAAGTTTTGTAACCGTTGCCAATATAGCTTTTATTTTCAAACAATGACCACATACATGCACTGTCTTTATTTATTCCATTAGACAAAGAAGCAATATTCTTTTATAGCCCACCATAATGTATGGGTTTTTCTCATAGTTGAAGGCTGTACCGTTGCATGTAATTGCTTACATCGACTTCATTTGAACTTTGGTGGATAGTTGTCTCATTGGCAATCATACCACATCTCCTATTTTTATAGCAGTGTTGATAGCATACTTGACAAAAATGTACCATTATCTACTCCTTAAAATTCATGATTTTCAAATAACCATGATTTTTTTTTAATATCAATAAAAAGAAGCTGGTTTAATATATTTCATTATTCTGTCCCTTTATTTTTTTATTGATGTTCAAACTGCGGCACAATTTGAACTTACCTTGGTCTTTGTTAAATTTCAAAATCTACATATATAATTCATGTTTGTTTTGTTGTTCAGGTTGGTGCTAAAAGTCTCTTCACATCTATAAATAAAAATATTTAATACAATATTTTATCCTGCAATCAACCAATTTTTATTCAATTAACAGGTGCACATATAAATGTTTGTTTTTTTTATTTACTGGACAAATAAAGTTTTTGGTATCATATTTTTAATTAGAGTTGAGGGTGCAGACAAGGAAGAAAAGTAAACCAGTCTAAGATGGACATGATAGCTTAAGAAGACACCACTAAATCTTTGAGATAGTGTGTAAATGTTGCTTATTTCATCTGTATTACTTAATTTAAAATATGGTCCTCAAGCTCATACAAATAAATTTTAACAATTAAAGTATATTGTGTTTTTATCCTGCACCTATTAGAGGTTCCCTTTTTTCAAGTTTTGTAACCGTTGCCAATATAGCTTTTATTTTCAAACAATGACCACATACATGCAATGTCTTTATTTATTCCATTAGACAAAGAAGTAATGTTCTTTTATAGCCCACCATAAGGTATGGGTTTTTCTCATAGTTGAAGGCTGTACGGTTGCATGTAACTGCTTACATCAACTTCATTTGAACTTTGGTGGATAGTTGTCTCATTGGCAATCATACCACATCTCCTATTTTTATAGCAGTGTTGATAGCATACCTGACGATAATGTACCATAATCTACTCCTTAAAATTCATGATTTTCAAATAAACATGATTTTTTTTTAATATCAATAAAAAGAAGCTGGTTTAATATATTTCATTATTCTGTCCCTTTATTTTTTATTGATGTTCAAACTGCGGCACAATTTGAACTTACCTTGGTATTTGTTAAATTTCAAAATCTACATATATAATTCATGCTTGTCTTGTTGTTCAGGTTGGTGCTAAAAGTCTCTTCACATCTATAAATAAAAATATTTAATACAATATTTTATCCTGCAATCAACCAATTTTTATTCAATTAACAGGTGCACATATAAATGTTTGCTTTATTTATTTACTGGACAAATAAAGTTTTTGGTATCATATTTTTAATTAGAGTTGAGGGTGCAGACAAGGAAGAAAAGTAAACCAGTCTAAGATGGACATGATAGCTTAAGAAGACACCACTAAATCTTTGAGATAGTGTGTAAATGTTGCTTATTTCATCTGTATTACTTAATTTAAAATATGGTCCTCAAGCTCATACAAATAAATTTTAACAATTAAAGTATATTGTGTTTTTATCCTGCACCTACTAGAGGTTCCCTTTTTTCAAGTTTTGTAACCGTTGCCAATATAGCTTTTATTTTTAAACAATGACCACATACATGCACTGTCTTTATTTATTCCATTAGACAAAGAAGAAATATTCTTTTATAGCCCACCATAAGGTATGGGTTTTTCTCATAGTTGAAGGCTGTACCGTTGCAAATAATTGCTTACATCGACTTCATTTGAACTTTGGTGGATAGTTGTCTCATTGGCAATCATACCACATCTCCTATTTTTATAGCAGTGTTGATAGCATACTTGACAAAAATGTACCATTATCTACTCCTTAAAATTCATGATTTTCAAATAACCATGATTTTTTTTTAATATCAATAAAAAGAAGCTGGTTTAATATATTTCATTATTCTGTCCCTTTATTTTTTTATTGATGTTCAAACTGCGGCACAATTTGAACTTACCTTGGTATTTGTTAAATTTCAAAATCTACATATATAATTCATGCTTGTCTTGTTGTTCAGGTTGGTGCTTAAAGTCTCTTCACATCTATAAATAAAAATATTTAATACAATATTTTATCCTGCATTCAACCAATTTTTATTCAATTAACAGGTGCACATATAAATGTTTGCTTTATTTATTTACTGGACAAATAAAGTTTTGTAACCGTTGCCAATATAGCTTTTATTTTCAAACAATGACCATATACATGCACTGTCTTTATTATGCCATTGGACAAAAAAGCAATTTTCTCAAAGAATTAATTCGGTTAGTTTTTTTATTTGAAATGTATTATATTTTTATGTTGTGATCTTTTATAGCCGACCTTAAGGTATGGGTTTTTCTCATAGTTGAAGGCTGTATGGTTGCATGTTATTGCTTTAACAACTTGAACTTTGGTGGATAGTTGTCTCATTGGCAATCATACCACATCTCCTATTTTTATAGTGTTGTTGATAGCATACTTGATGATAATGTACCATAATCTACTCCTTAAAATTCAGGAATATGATTTTCAAATAACCATGATTTTTTTTTAATATCAATAAAAAGAAGCTGGTTTAATATATTTCATTATTCTGTCCCTTTATTTTTTATTGATGTTCAAACTGCGGCACAATTTGAACTTACCTTGGTCTTTGTTAAATTTCAAAATCTACATATATAATTCATGTTTGTTTTGTTGTTCAGGTTGGTGCTAAAAGTCTCTTCACATCTATAAATAAAAATATTTAATAAAAGTTGGTTGATTGCAGGATAAAATATGTTATCCTGATTTAGAGTAATTTCTCGCAATTTGATTAGCTGATTTTGTCGGAATAAATTTTAGTCCAATTTTTTTTTTTCATCAATTGGAATTATCTCCCTTATACCATTGACCTAATAATTTTTTTTTTTTAGTTGCTTTATAGTCCTTATATTTTTCACAGTTTTAGATTAAATATATAAATATATTTGGTTGATATTGTCCTAATAATTGAATTTGAATATAATAATATGTAATATAAAAAAATTAGGATAAATTCTCCTGCAATTAACCTATTTTTATTCAATTAACAGGTGCACATATAAATGTTTGCTTTATTTATTTACTGGACAAATAAAGTTTTGTAACCGTTGCCAATATAGCTTTTATTTTCAAACAATGACCATATACATGCACTGTCTTTATTATGCCATTGGACAAAAAAGCAATTTTCTCAAAGAATTAATTCGGTTAGTTTTTTTATTTGAAATGTATTATATTTTTATGTTGTGATCTTTTATAGCCGACCTTAAGGTATGGGTTTTTCTCATAGTTGAAGGCTGTATGGTTGCATGTTATTGCTTTAACAACTTGAACTTTGGTGGATAGTTGTCTCATTGGCAATCATACCACATCTCCTATTTTTATAGTGTTGTTGATAGCATACTTGATGATAATGTACCATAATCTACTCCTTAAAATTCAGGAATATGATTTTCAAATAACCATGATTTTTTTTTAATATCAATAAAAAGAAGCTGGTTTAATATATTTCATTATTCTGTCCCTTTATTTTTTATTGATGTTCAAACTGCGGCACAATTTGAACTTACCTTGGTCTTTGTTAAATTTCAAAATCTACATATATAATTCATGTTTGTTTTGTTGTTCAGGTTGGTGCTAAAAGTCTCTTCACATCTATAAATAAAAATATTTAATAAAAGTTGGTTGATTGCAGGATAAAATATGTTATCCTGATTTAGAGTAATTTCTCGCAATTTGATTAGCTGATTTTGTCGGAATAAATTTTAGTCCAATTTTTTTTTTTCATCAATTGGAATTATCTCCCTTATACCATTGACCTAATAATTTTTTTTTTTTAGTTGCTTTATAGTCCTTATATTTTTCACAGTTTTAGATTAAATATATAAATATATTTGGTTGATATTGTCCTAATAATTGAATTTGAATATAATAATATGTAATATAAAAAAATTAGGATAAATTCTCCTGCAATTAACCTATTTTTATTCAATTAACAGGTGCACATATAAATGTTTGCTTTATTTATTTACTGGACAAATAAAGTTTTGTAACCGTTGCCAATATAGCTTTTATTTTCAAACAATGACCATATACATGCACTGTCTTTATTATGCCATTGGACAAAAAAGCAATTTTCTCAAAGAATTAATTCGGTTAGTTTTTTTATTTGAAATGTATTATATTTTTATGTTGTGATCTTTTATAGCCGACCTTAAGGTATGGGTTTTTCTCATAGTTGAAGGCTGTATGGTTGCATGTTATTGCTTTAACAACTTGAACTTTGGTGGATAGTTGTCTCATTGGCAATCATACCACATCTCCTATTTTTATAGTGTTGTTGATAGCATACTTGATGATAATGTACCATAATCTACTCCTTAAAATTCAGGAATATGATTTTCAAATAACCATGATTTTTTTTTAATATCAATAAAAAGAAGCTGGTTTAATATATTTCATTATTCTGTCCCTTTATTTTTTATTGATGTTCAAACTGCGGCACAATTTGAACTTACCTTGGTCTTTGTTAAATTTCAAAATCTACATATATAATTCATGTTTGTTTTGTTGTTCAGGTTGGTGCTAAAAGTCTCTTCACATCTATAAATAAAAATATTTAATAAAAGTTGGTTGATTGCAGGATAAAATATGTTATCCTGATTTAGAGTAATTTCTCGCAATTTGATTAGCTGATTTTGTCGGAATAAATTTTAGTCCAATTTTTTTTTTTCATCAATTGGAATTATCTCCCTTATACCATTGACCTAATAATTTTTTTTTTTTAGTTGCTTTATAGTCCTTATATTTTTCACAGTTTTAGATTAAATATATAAATATATTTGGTTGATATTGTCCTAATAATTGAATTTGAATATAATAATATGTAATATAAAAAAATTAGGATAAATTCTCCTGCAATTAACCTTTTTTTATTCAATGAACAGGTGCACATATAAATTTTTGCTTTATTTATATTACTTACTTACTGCCCGGTATGCCATTGGCATGTAGGGCAGCAACAATAAAGTTTTTGGTATCATATTTTTAATTAGAGTTGAGGGTGCAGACAAGGAAGAAAAGCAAACCAGTCTAAGGTTGACATGATAGATTAAGAAGACACCACTAAATTTTTGAGATTTATCATATTCCTCTACAGAGAGTTAAATGAAATGTATTTCTCTGAGTTCTTGTGTTCCTTTAAATAATTTTATAAAGCATTCAAATTTGGCAATACTTTTTGTAACTTTGTTTTCAGTAAATATAGTATTGTTCTTCTTTGCAAAAATATATATGTTGCTACTATTTATTTTCATCTTGTAAAGTGGTGAATCAGTTCCTAAAATTCTATGAATAATTCTACATTGGAACCAGCAAAGCTTAGCGCTTCTAGTATATTTTGTACATGAAGTGTGTATTTTTTTCCAGTAAAATGAGCTATTACCAGTCATATTAAGATGGTTTTCTCATGTCTTTGGCAGATATTTGTCTCATTGGCAATCATACCACATCTACATATTTTTATACTTGAGGACTATATTATCCAGAAATCTTCTTCCATGACTCAATTTTGGGACCATTACTATTTTTACTTACATTAATATATGTTGTACTCATTTACTTAATAGTGGTCCATCATGTTTTGTCTTGTCGTTCTAATTGCTGCTTGATGTCAGCTTTCCATCTGTAAAAAAAATATTGATTTTATGACGATTGAGCATTTAAAAAGAAAAATAGTTCCTTATATTTAATTGCAAATATTTTTCATTGTTTTAACAGCGATATATTTAGCAAGGCTGCAGCGTATTAACATATTCATTAATGGTTTAGTGTAATTAAATATCAGCTGTATTTTTACAAGGCTAAGAAACAGGTGTAATGCATGCTGTAATCATTAAATTAAACAATAAACACAAAACATTCATTTGAATGCTAAAAAAGAATTTTTGTAGTTAATTTAAATCAGAGAGCAAATTTCATTGAGTACATATTTTTGCGTTAACCAACAAATATATTCATGCACCAGGCCAATTCAATGACGCAAATATATAAATTTACGTGTGATAGAGGTTATGAGTGTGGAAAAATAAATTCCTTATCACCTATTTTAAGAATTTCGGACTTTTATTCAGTCTGTGAGTTAATTGCTCCGGTTTACACATCAATAACCTCTAGAAAAAATGTGTTTAATCCTATAATAAACTGGACCAAGTCACTCACAAACATATCATAAAAGTCTTTAGGACTTTTATTTGTTTGTGAGTAAATTGGTAGAGTTTATACACCAATAAATTCCTATAAATATATAAATAAAAATAAATATGTAAACAAAGGACATGCTTACATATCTATAATAAGTCAACACAGTATTAGAAATAGGTAAATATGAATAGAGTTATATCCCTTATGCTGTATATTTCATATTGTGTCCAGTGTACAGGGAATTAATTTTGATATCAGAAAAAACGTTTATTTTTTTTATTTTTTAGTTTAAAACAGTCTAGTTAAAAGAAAAATTTCTGCATTGTCTAACCAAGAGAAGATTACTAGTACATGTATGTGTATGATTGAAATCTATCATTTTATTGAAAACTTTTGATTAATGGTTTCATAATGGTATTGGTTTTGAAGATAGATGATAGAGCTACTTACAAATAAAAGGGCCTTGAATGAAATCTGCAATTGGGGGAAAGGGTTGGTATAAACATAAATCCAGAAATGAACTACTATGTACTTAAGAATTTGAAAGTCTATATTTACTTGAATGTTCCATTTATTTTGGTTTAGAGAAAGTTTCATCAATTCTTTAAATCAAAATACTGGGAAACAGAGGTCAAAATTTTGTTTACCTAAAGAAGAAAAAGTTATGAACTTGAAGAAACTAGCTAGCCGGGAAAATGATGAAATCTTAAAAAAGACAGTATTTTACATAATTATTTATTTGTTTTAGATGAGATAAAATTTCCAATGGTCACCTTGTTAGTTCGTTAGAGATGAAACAACTTACATGTATAATATATGTGATATTATACTGCTTTCTACAAAGGAGGCTGTGTTATATTTTATAAATTGAATTTGAAAATGTTTGTTGTGACTGTTTATTTTTTGTTCCCCTTTATATCTTGGCACTTTGTTGTTAGTTTCTTTAGTTTTGTTTTGTTTCTTTGTTAGTTAATTTCTGTGTCATTTGGTCTCTTGTGGAGAGTTGTCTCATTGGCAATCATACCACATCTTCTTTTTTATACTTAAAATTAATATGGCCTCGAATTTGGTTGAAATAATTATATGAAATATAGTTTCATCAGACCACAATAAACAGACAATGGTACCTACATTGTAAAAAAAATGAGATTTGCATGTACCTCAACATTTAGATACATGTTGAAATTGTTCTTTATTTGTTGTTGTTTCTCAGCTCAGTGTTAAGAAATAATTGGAAAAAAAATACAAAAAAGAAAAATTTGGGAGCAGTCAGGAGTAGAGTTTGTAAAAGTTTATAACCAAAAGACACTGAAGAATATGCATTTATGACATCTGGCAATCTATAGATTTTATCATTTCAAGTTAAAGACTAGACATGTTTGACTTTCTGACTCCCTTCATTTTGTTTTAATATTAGTATGTTATTTTGAACATTTAAAAATATATTCTCTATTTAATCCTGATCTTTCTTGTTTTAAGCAGCAAAAACAAATTTCTTTGATAAAATTCTGACTTCGGAAACCTTTAAATTATAATCTAACATTCCCCGAACTGTAGACTGTTGTCTGTTTGTATGGTACTTAAATTGGTAAAAATAAAGGCAGTGGCTATTTTGCCGGCACTGATTATCTTAATACAAGCTGGCAAAATAGCATATTTATATAAAAATAGTTATATTTTTTGATAACACATACATGCAACTCAAAGAACTGACTATTATTTCAAAAGCAAGATATTAATTTAAACATTTTTGATATTTTAAGCTACATGTATGTGATTGACTTTATGTTATATTGTATAATGTCTTATCAAAATAAATTTGCAATGAGATTTTTAACGTGTATTTTTTTTATAACAAACTGTTAAAAAATCTTAGAATTAATTCTTATGCACACATGTAGAATTTAATTTGACTGATTTTAGAAATTATTTCAGCTACATGTCTAGATTATAGATATGATTTCGTTGCTACAAATGGATGCTCAATATTAATTTTTATCTTGTTAATTATAAATTCCTATTTTCTTCTACTTCTACTATGTAATGACCGCCTTCAACACGTTGAAGTTTTTGTCACTTGTACTGCGCATTGCTTTGTGAAGACATATATACAGTGAAAAATTTACAAATTTGAAATTAATAACAAAAAAATTGATAATGACATTTTTACATAATGGCAGTGCATATTTTTAACTTATTATTTTTTTAATATTAAGATAAAACTATTTACACATGATGAATTTACTGCATGACTGTAGGTGTCGGTTGAGACTGCTGCTTTGAACAACTCTATAGAGTTGCTCATCACAATACTCAGAGGAAGGCTGTTCCTGTTTTTAATTGTTCGTGGAAAAAATGATTGTTGCCTTATTTTTGTTCTGCAGGATGGAATTTGATATGAGAGTGTGTACATGTTCCGGGACTGTCTGAGCGGTTGAATTAGTCTGTCTGTTGTTGTGATCGCAATGAGATGATATGTGATTTTATAAAACATGACCAGGCATGCATCTGTTCTTCTGTGTGCGAGGTCTCTCCATTTTAAGTGATCTATCATGTCACTAACGCTTGAGGTGTTTCTGTGTTGGTTAGTGACAAATCTAGTAGCCCTTTTTTGTACTTTTTCTATTTTGTTTATATCCTCAGTAAAGTATTAAGGGTCCCAGACTGAACAGGCATATTCTAGTGATGGTCTGACTAAAGATTTATATGCCTGTTCCTTTACTGAGGTGGAACTGATGTTTTCACTTTGACTGATAGATGTTTAAAGTTTTTAAGGAATAACATGTATCTCAAATATTGTTGGCTGTTTTCTTATTTAAATACTGGTATATCAGTAATTATTTGATTCTTTTATGTTATCTTTACTATAGTACTTCTGCTGCTTTGTGCTAATTTTAGTTGTTTACCTAATATATATGTGCTTTTAAATTGCAAACCATTTTATTTTTGCTTTTGAGTTTTTATCTCATAAGTGCATGTTTCAGTGTGTGTTGAACTTGTAAGATGCTTAAAGAACTTTTGTGCTGCATGTTTCCATACTGCATGTACTGATATGAACTCTTGCTTTATATGTTTAATTTATGTGTGCATGACTTGATATGTATGTTTTGTTTTATTGTTGCTCTGTCGGTTTTAAAAGCTCTTCAGAGCTTATGTTTGTACTTGTATTGCATATACCGACTCTAAATAAAGCTTTATGTCTTACTGCACATTTTCATAGATCTTTCCAAGTAAATATTACACTTCCATAGGCAAAATAACAAGTTCACTATTAATATATAATATATATTGCTGGTGCCGGTAAAATAGCCATTTTTATAGAAATATGCTATTTTGCCGGCTTGAATTAAAATTCGACTTAATTAAGAGATATTTTAATCAGTGCCGGCAATATAGTCCAGCATATTTGCTATTTTGCCGGTGCCGGCAAAATAGCCACTGCCAAAAATAAAAAAATATCTATATAAATCCTCATTTTTTTTGTAGATCTTTTTTTAATAGTAATGATATTTATATATATTTTTACATGGTATTCAATTCTTCTGTGAAGATATCATTTAAATGTGCTAATGCGTTACATTGTCGATCTTCATTGTAGCAGACGTTCTATCTGACAGCTGTATTCATGACATAAGGAAATTCCTATAGAACTTCCGGAATCTCCTGCGCGACTGACTGCGCAGTAATTAGTTAAAAAAAGTACTAAAATGGAGTCGGTCTCCACCTGTCTATGTATAGAACAAGGTGATTATACATAGCGGGATCCCAGTCTACTTCCTTTGGCGGATATTTACAAAAATGCTGTGTAATTCTAAGGGAAAATGCTTAAAATTTGACTTTTTACGAAATGGGAAGGTTGAAATCATCATATTTTAAAAGAATTTGGCCGAAAACTTAAGAAAGCAGGTAAGTTAAAAGTTATTTAACTTTAAAATTCAACCTACAAGGTGTTTCCCTATATGCGAACAAATCATGAACAATATCTTCTTGCATGTGTATTTCTGTTTTGAATCTTATTATTTTACGATTTTACGTCATTTTATTTGATCTTATATAGCAATTACACAATGGTTACGCTTCCGATTTTTAAACTAAAAAGGCCGAAAGATTTCAGAGTAGACAATGTCCATTTGTACACGGACAGAAGCCTAAAAACATGTACAATTCACCTATATGCGAACAAATTGTTCATTCGACATAGGTATTTGCATATTGGCATTTTAATTAAAAGGGCTTATATAATCCTATTGTAATGGCTGCCGTCATGATAAGGCAAAATGGCCGCTATGCAAATTAGCAAATTACCCGCTATGCAAATTAGCAAATTACCCCAAATTTTGCCATATGAAATATAATACAATATAAAATAAATAACTAGTATCAAAACCTACAACTGCTTGTAGTCTGTTCACTAAATATGATTCTGATTAACATGAAAAGTGTAACTGCTTTGAGCAGGCAGACATCAATGTTTGATGTAAGTTATAACTGATGTCGTGCATGCGGTTTCAAATAAAGGTATGCAAAGCATATATGCACGTAATATGAGGCAGGCATTACCTGTGAAAGGGGACGAAGTCTGTATGAATTATTTTTTTTTAATTCAAACATATTTTAACTTCAAAATCTGTTAAAAAAAGAAACGGAAATATCCTTACGTTTCCGATTTCGGTTCTGTTGTTCGGAATTTTATTTGTGACGTTATTTATGTTATGACGTCATATTCAATGTAAACAAAGAAACGCTATCAGGTAACATTTTTTCTACCGTTATAGGGGACTTCGTCCCCTTATAAATTTTTTTTTTTTAATTCAAACATATTTTAAGTTCTAAATCTGTTAAAAAAAAACGGAAATACCGTAACGTTTTCGATTTTGGTACTGTTGTTAGGGATTTTAGTTGTGACGTTATTTTAATTATGACGTCATGTTCAATGTAAACAAAGAAACGCTATCATCAGGTAACGTTTTTTTCATATCAAAGATTAATTAGAAATGAAATTGTTATTGTGCGGTTCCTTCCTATATTTTACTGGACTGATAAATATATATTTCACTCAAAGTCTCATGACAAACGAGACCGGAAGAAGGAAGTAGATTTCTGCGCAAATGCGGGGAAATAAAAAAAGTCTGAAAAAAAAGAGTTAACGATTTTGAGTTCATTAGTACAATGAAAATTTCGGGAAATTTTCCAGGATTTTTTTTTTTTTTTTTATTGATTTTTCTACCGTAATTGGGGACTTCGTCCCCATATAAAGCTTGTATATGTATGTACAATCAAACATATTTGTTTTAACAACAAGCTGAAAATTATTAAAGGACTGTCCTTCAAATTCCACATCAATTTGTACTATTCAAATGCATCTCATCAGTTACTATATACCAACTAAACAAGAGAAACATTTCAATACATTCCATTTAGTGTCTTAGTCATTGTTTTGCAGTATAATTTAATAGCGATTAAATCTTATATATATAAGATATATATATTTATTACATTGGTAGCATTGAATTACATTGATTTCCCATTCAAATAAAAACCAATAATTTCACATGTGAAATAAACGTGATTATTTCACTCTCTGACGTCATACAACAATAGGCGTTGTCAAGACGTCGATAACGTCGGATCAAAACAAATTGTGAATGCGTAGAAAAAAGATATAGTTCCTTACATTTTCTACATTAATTTCATTAAAAAAAGCCATTTGCCAATGTAATAAAAAGAATAACTAATCAAAGAATTCAAATATCGAAAAATATTCAACTCGTGACCGAACAACACTGGTAATTAACTCATGCGCTACGCACATTCGTGAATTAATGTGTTGTTCGGTCACTCGTTGAATATTTTTCTCTATTTGAATTCTTCGATTAGTTATTCTATAAATAAACAAGTCTAAATTGAAAACAACGTTCAAACCTATGATTGCGATGGATAAAAACCGCAATTTTATACGTGTGCATGCAAAACAAATTTCTTGTTAGAGGGGTCTAAATACAGCACAAACAACAATTTCCAAAAGACCAAATAGTAAAAAAGTATATTTTAACAAAACGCATTTGACTAACAGGTCGAACAACACATGCTCTTAAACCCTGCTGACTGCCATTGGCGATTGCCAAATAAACGGATCACCGGTGTAATAAGTGGATCTTAATTATAAATTTAATACTAAACAGAAAACAATAAACTTGCGGAAAAGATGATATACCGCAAACAAAAGGTGTAAAGGTTTTTGTACACCATATCCGGATTTCGACAATTAATGTCTCTTCAGTGATGTTAGGAATCGAAACGGTATTTGGAATATATATATATATATATATATATATATATATATATATATATATATATATGTGGAGTGTTGAAGGCCATACCATGAACTATAGTTCCAAACCTCAACAAAGTTCGTCTCTGGTGGAAGGTTGTCTCGTTGACAATCATACAAATTCTTATTTTTAGAACATTTTGAAATTTTTTTAGTTAGATAGGTGGGTTATATTCAATTACCCTTATACACTTTCTAGTCAAATTCCATGCTTTATAACTTATAAAAATACTAGAAAATGTAAATGAAAGATTCAAGGAAAAATCCTTTATCGTAAAACAGGTAAACAATAAAAAACAACAGCACAAAATAAAGAAATAAAAAATAACAAAATACCCGGTGCCATTTTCATGCATGTATCATCAGCTTTGGAATTCTCTTTATTCTGGGGCCTCGGTGGCCGAGTGGTCTAAGTAGTTACTACTGTAATCACTAGCCAGTCAATACTGAGGTTGTGAGTTCGAACCCCGCACTCGACTCCAATCTTAATTGACTAGGATTGTCAGTTTTCCTATCGAAGGTCGGTTGTTTTCTCCGGGCCCTCCGGCTTCCCCCACCAACAAAAACTGGCCGCCACGAAATAGCCCAAAAGCGGTGCTTAAAAGTGGCGTTAAAACACAAAAAAATGAAAAAAAAAAAAAAAATCTCTTTTATTCTTATGCATGTTATACTGTCAGACTGTCAGCACTTCAGACAAATCGATAACAGCATTGTCCAAATCACATTTCACTGTTGTGTTTGGCAGTACGGTCACTGCCTGCGTTCCAACTATAGTTACAAATATTCCACTCATGTTTTACGTTTAGAATGTATATCATATTATTTTTGGCCATAATATTGTAACCACGTTGTGAATGTTAGATCAGGATCGTTTTTTATGTCAATGTTCCTGTCCATAATGGCGTTACTTTCAAACGCACAATTGATTGAAGATGTTGGAGACGGTTGTGTGCGGCACCGTTCTTGACGTGAATGTTTATTCTAAATTTGAATACAAAGGAACTGAAGGGCAAGGAGGGATTAGGGATTTTCTATTATATTCTCTTCGTGAATGAGTATATGTAAATTCCCAGTCAATAAAAAGTAAAATCACAAAAATACTGAACTCCGAGGAAAATTCAAAATGGAAAGTCCATAATTAAATGGCAAAATTAAAAGCTCAAACACAATAAACGAATGGATAACAACTCTCATATTCCTGACTTGGAACAGGGATTTTCTTATGTAGAAAATGGTGGATTAAACCTGGTTTTACAGTTAGCTAAACCTTGGACCTTTTTATCGAAATAAGAGGAAAAATGTCTAGTTCGGTTCCGCGTGCAACCGATTTACCCTGTATCTATTAGTAACCTTAAGTTTTACCAATTGACTCGAGAAATGTATACCTACGGCCTTCGGCTAACAAATTTTCAAGTTGTTTATTATTTACGTAGCCAAGGTATCATGATATAAAAGCGAGTTAAACTTGTATGAGGACGATGTCGAAGAGTAATGAGCAGGTCTATATCTCTGAGGGTAAATGTCTCTAATTTCCTCTTGTGGTGGAGAATCCAGGATGCAATGGGTCTTAGGGGGTACCAAAATGCAGACTCTTTTTGAAAGATGTTGGTGGCTCTGATAAGGGCCGCTGTAATTGTATTTTTAGCTGGTTTTTTAAATACCGAATCCGTATAAGGTACGACGAAGATAATATACATGGCGGTGACAGTAGATTTGATGTATGTATATAAAATGGCAGATGTACTTTTATCTTTGAAGTAAGTAAGTATCGTTTTCTACACTATTTTTTGGTGGAAAATATGGCTAATATTGAAGGCAATCAAAGCCTTAATAGCAAATTCTGCTTTAAAAAGATACTTTTTTGTCATTTTTAAAAGTAGTAATCACGGTTGGGAACATCATATGGTAAGCAATGTCAATAATAATGGCAACCAATCTGTACTTAGCAATTTTGCATCAATAACAGAAGTCCTTTGGAAATTTTGAAATAGCGAACTTAGCTTTGATAATGGTATGGAAATTATTATTTTCAATATCGTGAATTCCCACAGGTTTATGAACATAGGATAAAGCACTATCCGTTGACACGACGTAAACACCTTCAATATGCTAAACATAAAGAATATTACTTCCCGAACAATTAAAGTAAGTGGGGATTGATTACATGTATGCCTTGCACTTTTGATAAAAAATCAACATTATCCACCACGCTTAGCCACGGTCCGCTGTAAAAATCAAATATTCACAACATGAGAGCAAGGCATTTTAAAATTTTGGAGCGTCAATTTAAGACTCCTATTTCCAGCAGGATGTGACGGCATACCTATACATCCAATTTGGCAAAACGGACGTCACTTCGGCATGTGTTTTACTGCTGAACGAATTAAATAAAGTTGACTCATACTAGCTGCAACATTGTTTATATATAGATTCGACCACTGCGTCGAGTGTTATCTGATATTGATCCAATTAAGACAGTTAAATTAACAAATTTAAAACCCGAAGCTTGCCGAGCGTTTTAAATATTTAATATTTAACTGTCGAGAGTGGATAAATATCGTATTGCACGAGATTTGGTGGTGGAATCTGTTTTTCTAATAATTTTTAGACGATATACAAACAACCATTATCCTTCTTTTCCAATGATATGCAAAAAGATGTGTTTTTTTCTATGTGACGTCAGCAGGCACGGTCGCCTTTTTTCATAATGACACAATAGGAGTTTCAGAGGAAAGCAAGAAAATTTGACGTCACAATCGAATTTTAACGAATGAAAAATTGAGATCATACGAACCACACGTTGATTAAATAAAAATAATCGACAGGTCAGGAAAAGGATAAATCGGGTATGAATTACAGAAATACCCTTCTACCACCCATTTACTCCTGATCCAACTATTGCAATACTGTTGGGTAACCTATATAACATATTCAGTTTTGTATAATCTATTTAAACAGATTTGTTAATTTTCTCGTGATTTATTATCGTAATTATTTAACCAGATATATTATGCTCCACATAAACTTTGACTTTTGCAACTTCCATGTATTCTCCACTTATAGCTTCAAATTCGCCTAAAGTGCAGTACTAGTTAAATATATGAATATGACAGTTGTTTTCAATTCGTTTGATGTGCTTAATCTTTTGATTTTGCCATTTGATAAAGGACTTTCCGTTCTTGATTTTCCTTGGAGTTCGGTATTTTTGCTATTTTACTTTTTAAACATAACAATGCATAAGGTAAACCCAAATTTCTGATATTTTTATACAATGGGTACACAAGTGCATGTATTGTGAGATTGCTCCATAGCAATGTTCAAGGCGTTGTGGACGTTCTACTTAAAATACATAAACATAATAAAATACAATAATTCCAAAACATTATTAGTGCAGCAATGATATGAAGATATATGACAGAAGGGATTAAAATATAAGTTTAGGACAACAAAATAGCAACAAAAAGACGAAAAGAGGTCTACAGCAACAGAAATCTAGGTTTTGCAAAACAATACAAACATCAACAAAACGAGGGGTGAACCCCGATACTTCGGAAGGAAATGCAGTTACTACACAGTGGTTTTTAACATCGCGTTAAGGAATACAAGTATAATCCTTATTTGTAAGTAAATGTATATCACCAGTCCTTGTTTTTCAGTACACATATCAACTTAATTTTGATTTACTTGATTTGTGCATTATCAATCTTCTATAAAATCTGGATTTCAATTTTCATTTACACAAGTTAAGTTCGATATTACATATTTGTAACATTTCAAAATGCAAAACAGCATGTCCGTTTGCATCAAGTGTAAAAAGACACACTCTTACGGAAATAAAAATTCATGTTCACTCCAAGTAAAGAAATATACAAATTAACCTATCTATTCTGTTAAAGATCCGAATTTGCAAAGTTTTGTGTGTCAACTATCAAGCTACATGTAGAATATTATTTTCTCTCAGTTTCCATGTATTTTTTTTTAAATCGCTCTAATTATCACTTGGTTCACGCTGGTTGACTGTTTTAATGCGAATCAAAAGACACATTAATATTACACTGTTTAAGAATTAAAATAAAGCAGTAACATAAAATTCAATATATATATTATGTCTCCAAGCAAGGAGTGTAGTGCTAAGGGTCTCCATTCTTGTAAAGCTTGCAAACAATTTATGAAATAGATACTCGTGCTGGTTGTATGATGCATACTATATATTGTTTTACTACTACTTCACTTAAATGCCTATACAGTGGAAATTTAGCAAAATGTGCAATGCTGTTTACAAACACTTAGTTGAATCAGATGCTAATATATACAAGGCCTGACGGACATTTTTTAGGCCAGGAGAGTCATTCACTTTTAAAATGCAGCTTTAAACGAGTATCTTGATGTTCTTGGTATTCTTCTCACACTTTTCCATCGGATTAGTTACACATGAAAAGCTGTCGACGCAGATAAACACAAACACGGCCATATTGCGGCAAATTTTGGCAAAGTTAAATAGAGGTAATTATAACATTGAGATTTTACTTTCTTTTGGGACGGATAATTGGTAAAAAATATGATCATACTGCATAGATATTTTGGTGTTAATTTTGAAGATTCTAATAGAGCTTATGTCAAATATTTGACATCTCGCAACATTGAAAAAAAATGTACTGATATGTTCAGCCTGGAAATAGTAAACAATTATTTATCATGTCCAGGTTTAGCTTGATTTCAAAAATAAAAACTTTCGTTACTATTACAAAAATTTAACACAAAGCATGATTCAGTTTTGACAATTAACCTTTATATGTTCTCGTCCTCAATATACACGAAAAATTTTAACTGTTAAACGTAAATCTCCATTCATCCATCCATCCTTATTAGTGTAATGCAAATGGCGGTAAATTCAAATCACGCGAGATCATTGTGGTGGCCATGTTCCAAATAGTAATCAGTAAAGCAGTTTTTATTTTTCACCTTTCATTGTCATATCAATTTTTAAGTTTTTGATTTCCTAATGTGAGAGTTTCTAGAAAAACAATTAGTAAAATATTATGTGAATGTGAAGTTTGATATAGGTGTGTAGCCCTTTTCAACTGATTTGTACAGTTCGTTCTTTTGTTGTGCTTTTGAACCACTGTTCCTTGTTCGTAGAGGGTTCAGCGATTCCAAACATGTTTTCCGTTATATTTCATATGTGTTTGTCCTATAACAGGAATAAGTTAATCAGCAGTTGTCGTTTGTTGCGGTCTGTCATGTTTGTTTTTCGTTATAGTTGTACCATGAATCGTTATAATTGTTTTCATTTAGTTTTTATCCACCATTTTCTACATAAGGAAATGCCTGTTCCAAGCCAAGAATATGACAACTGTTTTCCATTCGGTTGATGGGTTAGAGCTTTTTATTTTGCCATTTGATAAGGGACTAGTCGTTTTGAATTTTTCTTGGGAGTTTTTTTGTTGTTGTTATTTTACTTTTTAGTCACGTCGGGTATATTGTAACTTTCTAAACACAATCTGAAACTTTATCCTTCGCAGCACCTGAGATCACCCCAGGTTTTTCGTAGGGTTCGTTTTGTTCAGTCCTTAGTTTTCTATGTTGTGTTTTGTATACTGTTATTGTCTTTCGGTTTTTGGCATGGCGCTGTCAGTTTATCATCGAATTATGAGTTTGAATATCCCTTTGGTACAGGGTTGGTGACACAAAACACAGGCTAACTGTATTCAAATAGTTACAATTCAGTTTGCAGTTTATGTTAACTGGTTGATGAATAGAACGAGAACAATTGCACATACATTTCCTCATTAAACATTTAAAATTACAATGTATCTTCCACTTTGAAGCTGATCTATAGATTTTTTTCTATTTTTTTCTACGGACTGCGTGCCAACTATTTTGTTCACAGTACGATATACCACAAACGATACTATGACATGTTTAATCGTTAAAAAGACTTGATCATTTAGTTATAACATAGGAATAAGAGATTGTTGTTAAAGCACTGTGTTTATATCACATTTCAGACAATCCTGATGTTGAAAACTTGCAAGAGGTAGCAGAAGGAAAGACATCCACTCAAAGTTCGCAACATACAATTTATAAACCTGGTAATGCTAATGACGGAATCCTAAACACGTTTTCGCACACCACTGGGGAGCAGTCACCATACTGGGAGGTTGACCTTGGTCGTGTTTACAAGATCAAACAGATCGAAATATTTGTACGGAGATACTGCTGTGGTAAGCTGCTTGGTTAAAATTATAAAGTCATTTGTCTAATATGTTTTATATCAATTTATGCAACAAGTGACAGTCATTGGCAACTAAACTTTGACACAGGAGGTAAAACAACTGCCCAATATAATTAGATTAAATTGACTAGGAAATAATGAGCTGTAATAATGATACAAAGGGATATTTCAAGGTCCGGGATTTTTCGTGTGTTTATTTCTAAAATTTCTCGCGTAAAGTATTGTAGCTAAATAGTAAAGCCATTGTCTTTATTGTATGTATGTTCGGAACCCTTTGTCCGTCCAGAACTTTCTTGTCCATACAAATAAAGTCTCTTCCATTTGATATTAAATAGATAAAGCTTAGGCACGAAAAGACTTTGGGAGATTTTTTAAAATATCTGTTTTTCTTGATTTTAAGTTATTGAATTTATGTTACAGGTGATCTAATCCGTCAGTTAGATATCACTGCAGGACCATCACATAATCTGATGACGCGTTGCGCTTTTTACCCAGGACCTGCCAAGACAGGATACCACCTGGCCTTTGAATGCAGTCCAATAATATTTGGCCGTTACGTCAAAATACAGAAGAATGGTACGAGCAACTTAGCTTTAGCTGAAGTAAAGGTGATGGCTATTGTTGACAGGACAGTTGGTTAAAGGGACTAGTTTTTCTCAATTGCATACATATCGCTTGAATTAAATCGAAAATTGTTTAGTTAATGTAGTATGGGAGTCTTTTGTCATCCTTGATCGCAAATGGCAGCAAATAATTGGTCCATATCTTTTTTTATGAAATAAGCTATTTTTTGTGCACGATTAAGGGGAGAGAATCGGAAAAAATAGTTTAATTGGTGAACGTACAGTAAATGTATCTGTTTGGTTACTTTGTATGTAGCAAGATAACAGGTACGGTGACCCTATGTTATATCTCCCCAAAGCCTTTTATACGATATGTCTTTTCGTATTTTATTCAAGTTCAAATTGTATATTATTTAGTTTTCTTATTTAGTAATACTTTCGACATGTACCATTCTTACGTCAAATATGATCAATTTTGCGTTACACTCAATTTTAAAACATATACGGTGATTTAAACCTTGCAGTACATTTGAAAAAGTAGCAAGAGATAAACTTCCTTATGCATAAAAAAATACTGCCCTGTTATCTTAGATAAACCATTTGCATCATATTGTTAAAGAAAATACATGTATATCAGGTACACCATTTGCATCACATTGTTAAAGAAAATACATGTATATAACCTGATCAGATTATATTTTTTTCGTTTAGAGTCATCATATAAATAAAGGCAACAGTAGTATACCGCTATTCGAAATTCATAAATCGATTGAGAAAAAAACAAATCCGGGTTACAAACTAAAATTGAGGAAAACACATCAAATATAAGAAGAGAACAACGACACAACAGAAACACAACACCAAAATGCAACACACACAGAAACGAACTATAATATAACAATGGCCATTTTCCTGACTTGGTACATGACATTTTAAGAAAAAATGGTGTGTTGAACCTGATTTTGTGGCTAGCCAAACCTCCCGCTTTTATGGCAATGTTAAATATAACATTAAAATGACAAGACTACATGACTACAATACAAATAAATGGGAGAACAAAGAGGACAGAAACACACACAAATAATAGCTATCAAAAGGTACCAGGCTTATAATTTAATACGCCAGACGCGCGTTTCGTCTACATAAGACCCATCAGTGACGCTCAGATCAAAAAAGTTCGAAAGCCAAATCAAGTACAAAGTTGAAGAGCATTGAGGACCCAAAGTTAACAAAAATTGTGTCAAATACGGCTAAGGTTATATGCCTTGGATAAGAAAATTTTTAGTATTTAGAATAATTCATACTTTTGCAAACAGTAAATTTATAAAAATGACTATATAATAGATATACATGTTAACACCGAAGTGGTTATTAACTACTAAAATACTTTCTTTTCTAATTCTTAGCTGATTTATACTTTCCCCGATCGGTTGATTTTTTATATATTCAACGTGTGATTCGATTGATCGCAGATTTTCTTTTGTCAAAATTCAATTATGACGTCAAATTTTCTTGTTTTCATCTAAATTTCCTAGTAGTACGTCACCAAAAAAGGCAACCATGCAATTAAATGTTACATAGGGAAGCACATTTTTTTGCTGCTCATTGACAGGCAGATTTTGATTGTATTTGGAAATAAATATTCTATCCTCATTTAATTTTGATAGCCCCCTCCCCCTCAACTTAAATGGTCACCCCTAGCATTACAACAAAAACGAAAACGAAAAGACAACAATAACAACAAAACATCAAACGCAATAAAAAATAAGATTGAGATGTTTAAATGCATAATACATGAAATGATATTCGGAATTACCAAACTTATTGGCTAACACACAACCCTACGATAAAAATAGACAAAATAAAAGAACAACATATGGTTCAGATAATGCTTCTCAAGACGAATGCGGTTTGATGTTTTACCACGTTTTAGTATTTTTTGTTACCACTGAAGGCATGTTTAGGGTATTTTAATGGTAAAGTGTACCCCGTCTGTACTAAAAAAAAAAAAAGAATTTATTACACGTAGAATCAATGACATAAAACTAAAAATGCATCTATATAAAATGTTGATTGATTGGGCTCAACGCCACTTTCAGCACTATTGGCAGTTTTCATCCGTGGAGGAAACCGGAGTGCCCGGAGAGAACAACCGACCTTTGGCAAGAAAGATGACAATCCTTGTCAATTAAGATTCACACTTACAACATCAGTGTTGACAGGCTAGTGATACAGAAGTTGGACTACTTAAACAAATCGGCCACCGATGATTCCTGTATAAAATAAGATAGAATCTAAATCAATCCATATTGAAACGGAAACTACAGATATCATCAATATTTCTCTAAACCATTTATTTTAGAACCACTGTCGATTGTCTATGGTATACATTCGAAGCCAAAAGATAAGAAAACCAAAATAAAACGATTGAAAGCATAAAACATAAGGATCTGAACAGAACGTTACAATCAAAAACGTCCAAATTAACTTTGTCAGAATTAGTAGCAATCTAAGTATTAGGTACAGCTAATAATATATATATGCAATGTATCATTTAAAATCTTGCTAGCAGAAGAACCAGCTACTAGGCCAACTCTACCCTCTGGGACTGATATAACAAAATTATAGCAGTACCTACACAGTGGGAGTACAACATTTAATTTTCTGTGTTGGTACAGACTTACTTTACTAACAAGGTTTTTTTTAAATCTTTTTCTGAGAGCATCATTGCATTCAGTGAGAATTTTCGGAACACTTCCTACCCAGCCGTCACTGTTGACGTTTTGAAAAGAAATATTTCATTAATCGCCAACAAGACCTTATAATAATAACAACTACAACAACAGTTTCAGGGGGCCATAAAGATCTGATGGGTGGTTTGCCAGATCAGATTATTCAACAGAGTAATTATAATCCTAGTGGTGCTTTCTTGCATTCACCTTTCTTGCATTCGTCCATTTGTTCGTCCGTCAGTCCGTCCAACAAATATTTCCGTCAATTTTTCTCATTTTTCGTCACACTTTGTTAAGAAACCATACTACAAAAACAGAACGACTTTATTATGGTCAGCAGCTTGACTGTGAGAAGTTGTAACGTGTGGGCACTTGTCGGATCTGTCTGACACATTCTTGTGTGGTGACATTTTAGATATTTCCCTTTTTCCCTAAATGTGACCTATCGAATAAGATTTATCACCGAGTTTGTACTTACATGAGCAACACGATGTGCCACATGTGGAGCAGGATCTGCTTACCCTTACGGAGCACCTTAGATCACACCCGGTTTTTTTTTAATCACACAGTACTATTGAACAGAATAACTTTATATTTGGTCATCAATTAGACAAAGAAAAATTGTAATACGAGAGCGCTTTTTGGATCTGTGTGACACCAACTTCCTCTTTGAAGATACTTTAACTTTACAACATATTAAATGGAAACAATTATTTTCGTCAAACCTTAAAAAAAAACCTACTAAAAAAAATTAAAATGACCAAAGAAATTCCAGTCACTGGATTTGGAGCAGTTGCGGAAACAAACTTCGGGACGATTTAAGGACGAACTGATAATTAACACAACAACAAGAAAGAGCTTTTCCAAAAATCTTGCCGGTTTTTAGCTTATTATTTTGAAAATAGTTTTTTGTTTGTTTGTATTTTCATCCATTCAGATTATTGCTCTGTATATAAATTGTAATGGGGCGAAAAAAGGTGGAATAAAGGAAAGGCCAATCTAGTATTTAAGGGTTACAATTTTAATTTTGTGCTTTGTCATATATTACTCCTGGAAAGGGCTTAATTTCTAAATCACTTGCGTTTTTGCCTGTACTGATTTCAATACACTTTTTGATGAATCAATTTTTCAGCAGACATGTCATTATTTACTCTCTGTTTGAGAAAAGTATGACCATGATCTTTCACCAATTGTCCCGATAAACCAAACAACAAATGTTCTAGATACCAATGAATCTAAATTATACCGGCAATTATTGTTCCTATATCCTACTTAACCAGGTTCTTCTTCATCCCGGTAACTAGTCGGACTCTGTAATTGAGCGTAATTGGCTCGGGTGCATCTCAAACAGACAGGAGGCCACCCATTTGGCCAAAAGTAAAAATCCAGAAAAACTGGATGGTATTTACATTAGAATAAGTAAATGCGTATTTACAAATATGTACACTGGGTATCCTGCTGTCTAATTGAGATATTGCTGGGTCCAGGAGATGTTGTTCACTCTGGCCCTGAAGTCCTCTAATGATTCGGACTCCACTACAGATTCTGGTAATTTGTTCCATTCTCTTGTTGTTCTCGGGAAGAAGGAATGATGATAAACGTCTCTCTTTACTCTAGCTTGTCTGAGTTTGTGGTTGCCTCTGGTCCTACTGTCACCTGATGTGAAGTACTTGGATGGATCAATGGCAATCAACTGGTGTTGGGTCGTAAGCTTATAACACAGCACAAGAATCTGTTTCAATCTTCTGTGCTGGAGTGATTCCCACTGCAGTTGGTCCAGTAATTTAGTTACACATCCTAGAGAGAATGTGACCTACTGACTTAGACTTATTACCCTTCCGAAGCACCTGAGATCACCCCCAGTTTTTGGTGGGGTTCGTGTTGCACAGTCTTTAGTTTTCTATGTTGTGTTTTGTGTACTATTTTTTGTCTGTTTCTTTTCGACTTATGAGCTTGAATGTCCCTCTGGTATCTTTCGACTCTCTTGTTCTGAAAGCAGCTATATACAAAATTAAGCGAGCTGCTCGTCTCTGTACTTGCTCGATATCTCGTGTGATGGTGATTTGGTGCGGGTCCCATACTGGCGAAGTATATTCTAGGGTAGGTCTTACAAGGGTGGAGTATATTGGTTTTTTTGTCAGTTGTTTTCTTAGCTGGGAATCAGTTTGACGAGTCAACCCCTTTTCAACTGGTTTTTACATTTAGCTCTTACATAATAGAGAAGAAAGGATATGGGGTATCCATCCAAGACACAAAATTAGTACATGCACAGCAAAAAAAAAAAAAGGCAAAGGAACAGCGCTTTTAATGATTTATGTTGCGGTTTAACACCACTGTCCCAGGTTAAGGTTGGGTTGAGCATCCGCAAACATAGTAACCTGTGTGCCTGTACCAAAATCATGAGTCTGAATTTCATTGGTTGTCGTTTGTTACTGTGAATTACACATGCCTTTCGTTTATAATTGTTTTGTACATAAATAATGACATGCCGTTGGTTATGTCGTTTGAACTGTTTTACATGTGTCATGTCACATCCTTTTATAGCTTGTAATGAAGTATGAGTATTTCTCATGGTTAAATGATGTAGGGTGACGTATAAATGCTAACATCTATGTCATTTTGTCTCTGGTGGATAGTTACCTCTTTGGAAATCATGCCTTATCTTCTTATTCTTATGTTATAAATGTCGGACTAGCTAATTTTCTGGACCGTTGCAAAACATATACTAAAACTATGGTTTTGAACATTTGCCAGCACTATTCACATGCATCGATCAAATTTCAACTATATACCATTTGTTGTCGGAACAGTCATTATAATACAAACATGTACATGAAGCTATGGTTTTCTCAGATGTTAGCAAACGGAGTTTGTTCCTGTTTATTGCCTTAAGGTCTCCCATATTTGTGTATTTAATTTTGCTATTTAAGGAATTTTGTGTTGATTGCATATCTTAGAAAGTTTTTGTAAAATTTTCCACAATCATTTATTTTTTTGAAAATTTAGAGCTTGAAATGTTGTAAAGACATTTATCTATGGAAGAAACCCGAGGTTTGGTCTTATTTAGCTTTGGTGTTAATTTGGGTGCCGTCTTATTTATGATACCCTACATCTCCTTTTATTTACACAAATATTTCTGGCAACGCTTTAAATATATTTACATACAGTACATGTATACTTGCTTTCAAAACGGTGTTATGAGATTGTAATTATTATAATCTTATTATTTATCTTGGCCTTATTTGTTTTGTATGCACCTTATATGTTGTTTACATAATTGGGCTGTGATCTGTTTATAGTTGTTTACAAAATAATCTTATTGTGTAGTTTAGAAATCACTGGAACAATCGTAGATACTGATGGAATGATTAGAACTTTTTATATATATTTGACTTGCATAATATTTCCAGAATGATAATAATCTACGATGCGTAATTTAAACTTCTACAGTGTTCTAGAAGTTTCCGTGACAACTATATATACTCACTTACGGATACGCTCACCTATAATAGATGCATCCCAATATTATCCATTCAGACATTAAGAAAGCCCTTTCTTCATACGGAATAAGCAAATATTTACCAATGAAAATCCATTAACAGATTTACCCCATTGTGACGTGAAGCGTATGACTAATTAGACCGGGTCTCAATTGATCCGGTAATCACTAACGGGAGTTAAAAATCTTTGACATTCCACGAACATCTGACACAGGGGAGCTAACTAAGGAGGAGATGATTCCTGAAACCTCTTCTTTCTTTTTTTAGTATCAAACATTTAATACTTTTTAAATATCCCCTTTATTATGGCGTCTTGCTCTTTTTGATATTTCTGCTTTAACATATAGGAAGAATATAAGTAAGGTAATTACAGAAAAGCGGTTTGGACGCACCGAATGATATTTATATAGACCGTTTAATTTTATTGCGAACAATTAAAAAAAAGGAGTGATAGAAAGCTTACAAAGTATAAATATACAAATAAGAAATGTAATATTCAAATGATTAAGGTTGAATGTCCCTTTTAATATCATTAGGCTCTTCATGCTTCGCTTAATCTTTTTAAAGGTATAGATTGTGTCATTTTATAGACGAAATCTAAAAATGAATCTGTAAAATCACACCTGTATTAGTCACTCACATCTATAAATATTAAAATATTTTGTAACTTTATAAGATGAAGTAATTTAAGGTAATGAATATCCGTCTTCGGTAAAATAGAAAAAAATCGTTAGAATTTTATACATGTACTTGTATAAAGTTTTATGTGATCATATCAATGGGAGATTTGAAAACGCTAACAGTTGAGAATTTGTGTAAAGAATGTGACTGTGACAAACCAGTAGAATGGGTCTGTCTAGAATGTAACATTCCGGTCCATGATTTCTGTATTGCTGCACACATCAACAGACAGCCATCATTGACGCATAGTGTTATTCCAAACTTTGACGCCCGTAAGTACCGAAATGTCTATTAAACAGACTTGTGTAAAAATAATTAATACATATACACAAATCTTTTATAAGTTGTCCAATAAAGCACCATGACAGTATGTGTTCTCCATAACTACAAAATGTAGGAATATTAAGCACGCGCACACACACAGTTTGATATAACTTGTAATTTAGGTTTTAGTATTAAAATGTAATTATAAGAATGGAATGCTCTTTTCTGGATTTATTGTAGAGTAAAAGCGTTCACCATGAAAACATTCACGAATTCATGTACGCAAAGTGTTTCGGTCAACGCTTTTTTATCCAGATAAAAGTAAACAAGAATCATCAATTCTTTTCATTCTCCTATGTGAAAACGGTCACTATCTCGGAAGTCCGTATATATTGTTCTTCATCTTGGCAGTTGCTAATTAGTTTTTAATAGCATACAAGAACTACTAGGGTTTTCCAAATATTTCAATAGCATTGGGCTTCTTATTCCGTTATAGACAATCTAAGTTGAAAGCGTGCCAAAAGTATTGTTGAATATAACACTAAGATTCTCAAAACCAAAGTCGAAGCTATTAAGCAAAGACCTAGACTAACACTAATAAAACTTCGTTATTTGCATGCACCATTAATAATACATTAATTCAAGATCACTAGTTTCCTCTTTCTTTTATATTTCTTTTAATATCTTTTTTTCAGTCACACAAGGACGTGTGCTTGGAACGAAAACAGTCACAAAGCCTCGTGTTGACAAAATCATAGTATGTGGCCCTGGAATTGAACCAATTGGACTTGTCGGAGAATTCGACAGCATATTTAATATAGAAACGTATGGTGCAGGTCACGGCCATCTGAATATACAGATAGTTGGACCGAAAGGTAGAGTATTTTTATTCAATAGTTATTAGTTTAAAAGTTCATTTTTCTCGGGTATTAATCATGTCAATGTTTTACAAATACATGTATTTCCTTTGTTACGTTTCATAAAGATAAAATAAACGGAAAAAAAGAATAATAAAAGAAAAATAATGTAGAAAATTAAGACAACAATCTAACTAAGGACTATTTCATTTAAATGTGTGTTTAAGTGTTGGTGTTGGATGGAGGTAAGGGTTGGAAAGGGCCATAAAAAAAGGACAAAACCAATATATTTCCATTGAGTTATTTTGTATACCTCAAGTGGATAAACAAATATTAATGACCAAAGACACATGGTCCAAGGACACAGTTATCGTCCTTTGGTTTTCGTTGTCTACAAATATAGTCCCTAGTGTGAACAGTGTATAACTTGCATTATTTTTTGATACACTTTCCCAATTTATTTCTTGATATTTTATGCATGAACTATTAAGTAAGGGGATGAAATTACATGTTTAAAAAATTTGGGTGCTGAATCTTTATGTTAAGTAGTGATTTGGTCCAGTTAAAAAAGGTCAAAAATTAGAATGTCTGAAGCTGTCAAACTGAATTTTAGCCCCCCTTAACACAGAATTGTCAATATTTTGAGTTAGAGCTGGTAGAAGTTTCTATAATTTTGATATTATTTGTATCAATAGTAGTACTCTACACTGTAAAAATCTTTTTGAGATAGAGCAGGTGCGATTTTTTTAATTTGAATTTATTGTCTAAAAGAAATGCACTACGAAATAACTGTGTTCTCGGGCCACATGTCCAAATATCAAAGTTCCTTTCATATCCAATCACATTCATTCAAATGGAATAGACTTTATGAATTGCATATGATATTGTTTGCAGTATACACATATATATGTATAAACTCAATTTCAGTGTCTCACTAACCTAGCTGTCAACACTGAGGTTGTGAGTTCGACAACCATTTGACCATGATTGTTAGTTTTCCTACCGAAGGTAGGCGGTTCTCTCCAGGCACTGCGGCTTCCTCCATCAATAAAAACTGACCGTCACGAAAAAGCACATGAGTGCTGAAAGTGGCGTTAAACACCAATCAATCTCAATCTTAATTTCAGTGCGCAATGTAACGTGTTTTTATATAATATTTTCATTATACAGGTATTTCAATGCCCCTTAGAAATTTTTACAGATTAATTTCATTTTACAGGTACACCAAAGACCAACAGCCCTATAAGTAAAATACAAAGATCTAATTGATAGTTTAAATATAAACCAGAAAAGGAACAGATAGTCCCGTATTGGATCAATATCGTCTAGTTTAATTACTTAGATAAATATTTGACCGATATAATGCAATTTAGTCCCAGTATACATGACAAAACTAATACACTAAAAATTAACTTTCGGGACATTGATCAATGTTACTTTCAGTTTCAAAACATTAACAAAGGAGCCGTTCTTTTACTTTTCGTTATTTGTCAATATGTGTAGTCATTCTGTTTCATCCCTTCTATTCCGTTATGTAAGTAAACCTATAAAGTATAGATTATTATATTGGAATACAAATTAATACATTTAAGATATGTAAAACCGATCATATGATAGAATTTATATCTTATATAAAATTCAGGGGCATTCGAAGCAAAAATGGCACCACATAGTGAAAGGAAGACGACCATTATGTGTTCATATGAGGCAAAGGATGTCGGTGAATACACAATCACTGTCACGTGGTCTGGTTTAGAAGTACCCGGATCCCCATTCAAAGTTGTACTGACAGACCATATAGACTCAAGTCTATAATTTCTTCCAGTGTTGGAAAGTAAACATTTGTGCAATATTTTGTTTCAAAAATATATTTGTGCAGTCATGGAACATTTATCCAATAAAATTCATAAAAACCTTTTAACAATTCATAATCTTGAATGTGGTTGCGTATGACACGAGGGTGTACAATACCAGTTATACCCACTTTTAACGTCGCCTCTCTCCTTTAATTCTGAAATTCTATCTATCTAATTAGCAATTGACTCACGGTTCCCGCTGTCTGTCGCCAATTTCTGAAATTTTCATATTTAAAAAACATATAATATAATTCCCGTGCGCATCACACGTGTTTCTGAAATAAACATCTGGTTCGCTAAAGACCGAAAATTTGAAAAGCCAAAAGTTCAAAACACTGGAGAGCTAAACACTAAAATGACCTACTCACAGTAGTCCTCTATTTACCGAATCATACATCTTGTATGATTAAATGTAGTTTTCCAGAATATTCATGCCGATGGATATTTTCGCGAGGACATATTTCGGACTTTGAATACATGCATATAAGAACTACATGTATGAGGGTCTGGATGGGGAATCCTTCAATTCTGTATTCTTTAAAAAATTTTCTGTATTCTTTATAATTATATAATATTTGCCTATAATTTTACATTCTTTATATTTTAACACCCCAGTATTCTCTATTCTCTATTCTTCATTCTTATTGCATTTTTTTCTCTATTCTTTATTTTTTCGGCCATTTTTCTGTCGTATTTGGTGTATATTTCTCAGTCTGTATCTGAATCCAGACCCTCATGTAAGTTCAACTATGTTACATTTTATAACTGATAGGTATTTGAAGCGAGCTATGATTTTGAGAGTCACAACTTCGGTTATTGGTCAGCATCATCAGATGTATGTCAAGACATAAGTCAGTTATTATGCCCGCCTACGATAAAAGTGAGATATTATATTTCCTGGTAATCGCCGGCCCTGTCCAACGACACAGAAACTTGTTGTATCTGCTTCTCCTCCAAGCACGCGTCATTTAGAAGTAAATAGAGCAATATCTGGTCGACACGAAGTCCGAATAATTGTCCGGGTAGGATGACATGTGGAATTTTACCACGTGATCTTGCACATTACGGTCCAATACAAAACAGCGTTTGGATTGTTTTACATTTGTTATTTCGGGACCCTTTATAGCTAACTATGCAGTGTGAGTTTTGCTTATTGTTGAAGGCCGTACGGTGACCTATAGTTGTTATCTTCTACGTTATTTTGTCTTTTGTGGAGAGTTGTATCATTTTCATCTATCATCATTCAGTCAATTCTATCATTGCCCAGGGAGACCAGGGGCCTGTTTATCGAAGCAGTCTTAGGATTAGGACGTGTCCTAAGACTAACTTAGGACATATCTTAGTTCTAAGTGGGTTTATCAAACATGTCGTAACTTAGGAAAATCCTAGGAATTGTCCTAACTTTAGGATACCAATTTAGGTGTCTTAAGATGGTCTTAGGATGGTCCTAACTTTAGGATATATTTAGAATGGTTATTTTATAAACAAATATGGTCTGTATTGGTTGCATTCTCTTTAGGGATCAAGGGGGGGGGGGGGGGGGGGGGGGGGGGGGGGGTCGGATGATTTTTTTGTTGTTGTAATCTCTGTCTTTCCTTTTTATTTTTCACTCTATTCGGTCCTGCCTTTTTTATTAGTTTATCCTGACTTTTTTTTACATACATGTAAATTGTGATCTTGCTTTTTTTTTGCAAAGTTTCTCATCCTGCCCTTTTTTTTACTCCAAACTCCTGTCCTGCCTTTTTTTCAAATTTCATCCTAGTTCGCCCCCCCCCCCCCCCCCCCCCCCTCCCCCCCTAAATAAAAATCAAATGGTAGTTCCCTTAATGTATATTAAATCCCTATCCCTCTTTTCAGCACCATTTGTTGCAACATTTGACAATTTACCAAAAAGCAAAGTGTTACTCTTGTCCACGTCGTCCAGGAGAGTCTGTAGTTTTGCATCGGTATAAATCGAATTTCGTCTCTTATATTCACACGTATCATCGCATGTTATTTGCAGTAATAAAATAGTTAAAGTACTCAGTATTTATATGAAAGATTCACGAGATTTGCCTTTGAACTTTTAAGTATGAAACCGTGACACTTCGAATTCAGCTCACTCAAAGCATATAATGATTTTGCCAAGGATTTGTATACTATACAAATCCTTGATTTTACCGATTATATATTTTATTTTAACTATTTACAATTCGTTTGTTTCAATTCTTATATAAAACGTAGTTATATTTTTTGTCTTATGTTTTGTTTTATGAGTTTAAATGTACAATTATAATATAAAAAGTATTTATCACCTTAAATTTAAAACTAATAATTATTTTCTAATTATCTATCTTTTTTTAATTATACTTATTGGTTAAACTTGATACAATGTTTTCATTTTTTTCATTTTTAATTTGTTATTTTCTTTTACGCTTATACTTAGGACAGCGGTTATGACATCCTAGCTAAGATAATCCTAAGATAGCTTCGATGTGCATGCTGAGACATGTCGTAAGTCGGTCCTAACTTTATCCTAATTTCTGTTCTAAGAAATTCTTAGGACCGATCTTAGGACAGTTTCGATAAACAGGCCCTAGAGGGCATCAATTTTTTTTGTATAAACTAGCTCATTATGATCTTTTTCTTTTCCAGTTTTTACTTTGATAAATATTTTAAACATTTAAGCAGAACTGTAAACGAATCCGAAAAAAGAAGTGCTTCGAGAAGAGTATTACGAAAATTAGAAATTAAACAGTATTCACAATTTCAGGGATATTTTTTATAAGTTTTTTTTGGTTTATATCTCACATTGGGATTATATTACTAGTATGCATTATGTATTAAACATTTTTCATCAAATTAATATAAAAACCTTTGAATCTTGGACTGGAAGAGTAAACAGTTATTAGGATATATATATTTTTTTTAATCTTAATAATAGAACAGTGTGATTATTATGGAAAGTTAATATTCATGTTCTTGCAATGAAATATCAATATTTATGATTTTTTTATACGGCTTCAAATTATCCATTACTGATTTTTTTCCAATAGACTAAAACATCGCATGTAAGTAACAGCTTGAACTTATATTTTATTGAAATTTCCAGTAAAATGATAATTCCAGGAATTTTTACGAGGAAATATTTTGAAAGTTTGTTTTTCAAAGCAAATAATGATATTTAATTTCAATAATCAATCGACTCTATTCTAAAATTGTACATAATGCAAAATATTTATTATATAATTTCATTTTTAATAGACATATCATTTTAAACGTAACAGACTTTTTAGATTTTATAGATTTATTTATTTTTGTATGTCTGTATAATTTTAACTAATAATCAGTCTTTGTTTTGATTAAAAAAATGAATTAATATCACAAGTAGTGTAACTGCCAAAAGTTTGCCAATCTCAAATATTTTTTTTTGCCCCAAAAGTGGACTACATGAGCCGTCCTTTATCTGGCTTGGTTTACATTTTAAACAAATCACATTTACGGTTTCCCCTTAAAACATATATATATATATATCCTAGGCCATATAAAAAAGGTCTATCGGCGTTCTTTTATCTAACTATATTGATTATAAAATCTGCTTGAATTGTCATACTTTTCTTTATTTTTACAAGTACTGTCAGGGGACGGGATTGTAGTTACGACAATTGAAACATATTCGTCGTCATCTATGAAACAAACATTCCATTTAACTTTGTTCAAATCTCATAAATCGAGCAAGAAGAAAAGCAAAGTAACAAAAACAAACTGAAGGGAATCACATGCACTCAAAAAGGAGCGGGACCGGATGCGTCAATATGAAAGATGTCTCCTTCTAGGTATGCATCATCCGCCATGCAAAACCTCAACAGTCAAAATGTTACGCTCGTCAAAATAGAAAAGCCAATTAAACCCTCAAATGTAGAGGAACTATATATGGAAATAAAAAAATCCCTTTTATAAAAAGATTTTGAAAGTGTTATGTACTACTTTTGGGGAAATTATATCAAAATTATAAAAAAAAAACATTCATTAGGTCAAACTAAAATATCATACTTTATTATTAGACAATTTTATTTCAATAGGTTCTTTTGACAGTTTCAGTCGAACAAAATGGAATAAATTCAGGCAATATAATAAATTACCGGTGTTCAAATCTAGCAAATCGATAAGGAAAAGACAAATCACGGTAACAAACAGAAACTGAGGGGATCAGACGAACTCCAAAAGGAGGCGGGACCGGGTGCGTCGACAGGGTAAAAGTAAAATAACAAAAATACCGAACACCAAAGAAAATTCAAAACGAAAAGTCCCTTAACAAATGGCAAAATCAAAAGGTCAAACGCATCAAACGAATGGAAAACAAATGTCATATTCCTGACTTGGTACATGCATTTCCTTATATAGAAAAAGTGGATTAAACCTGGTTTATAGCTAGCTAAACCTCTCACTTGTATGTCAGTTGCATAACATTCAATTATATTGACAACATTGTGTGAGCAAAACAAACAGATATAATAAGAAAAATGTAAAAAATTGGGGAAAAGTAGTAAACATTGTGTTAAATTCATAATCACAATAAAACCAAACAACTATGTCAACAAAGAAAAACAAAATGGCATGTATACACTCTAAAGACAAAGCACATAAGCAAAAATAAAAGACAAGGTTACAAAAAATGACTGTAGCACAATAATACAATGGCGGGATGTATAAATACCGAGCCACGACAAAAGGATATTACCAAAAATGGAATAAACAGTAAAGGTTAAAAATGTACAAAGACAAATAATAAAAAGAACAC